CATAATATTAGGATCCAATCTTCGTTGTGGTTGCCTACAAAGTTTGGCTCCTTCTTCTAAATAAATGTGATGAGTACATACTTCAGAGTTAATCTCTTTTAAATCAATCATGTCCCATCCAATACCCTTTTGGAAATTCATCAAGACTCTTAAAAGATATTTCTCTTATACTTCACTCAAGTTAGAATATATAATAATGGGCTTTGACTGATTTTCTCCCAAATATGTATATTTTAAATGCTTGGGGAGGGGCTTAATTTTAAACTAAGATTTTCTGTCACTTTCTTCACCTTATTAAATTTTGACCATCCCTTGATCTCTTTCATAAATCTTCTCACTAATCTCTTTATTTCTATCAAAATTATCTTCTATGCTTTCTCTAATGCATTCCTCTATCTCCTCATTCTCTACAATAACATTATCTTCAAATAACATCATGCACTATATCAACCCCATTACATTGATTTTGATTTTTACGTCATCAAAAATCTTAATTTCGGTAATCTTATTCTCACATAAGATCCTAGATAACCCACTAGGCAAATCTATGTTCATCTTGGTTGTATTTAGAAATGGCCTTCCTAAGATGATGAGTGCATCACATAAATCATTTTAATCATCTATCTCTAAAAATAATAAAATTAATAGGAAATCTACAGCCTTTGACATCAATTATGATGTCTTATAAGATGCATTTTGTAGAGTGACGTGACTTAGTCGTTGTATAATAAATCACGTAAATTTAAAATTTATAAACTACAAAATACTAATTTTGAGATATTTAAAAGTATTTTTAAACAAATAAAATAATTATAATTTAATAAAAGTTCTCAAAAATAATAAGATGTAATATAATATGTGGTAATATTTCAGAATTTACCACAAAGAATATAATTTTTTAAGAATTTTAGACTAATAAATGAAAATAAAATATATTTAAAATTCATGAAAAAGAAAAATAAAGGGGGTAGACGTCAAGATGACATCAATGCCCTATGAACGCGAATTGAACAGAAAAAGAGTTCCGTTTAATGATTCTTACATAAGCAATTACAAATGATTTAATTAGTCCAGTTAAGATTTATAAAAGCTAGAAAAATCGTGATTGAATGAAGAATAATTTGATAAATTTAAATCACACAAATTATCACTAAATGAAGTGAAAATTAAGTTTAAAATAAGAAAGATAGAGTTTCGGCCTCGTGATAGTGATCGTCATAATTTTGTATGTTCATGATGGTCATCGAATGATGTCCATAGTCTTAAAAACTCTCCTTGAACATGGACAACTTAGGCATTCACTAAATCTCTTTTTGAAGTCCAAAAAATGATGGTGAAAGTTAAACTAGTTAAAAAAAATGGTAAAATAAAGTTTTGATGTCACGACAGTGATGCGTCGATGATGTACCAAAATCTTGGGCATTCAAAAGTATTGTTGTGCAGTGTCCATGGCCTCAAAGGCTTTCCTTGGACAAGGATGACATGGGCAATTTATAGATCTTCTTGCGAAATCTAGAGATTAATAAAATAGGTTAGCAAATCGTCTCTAGCAATTGTCATTCAGCGGAGCGAAAAGATGGTGACTTTACAACTCTCTAGTGGTTGTCACCCAATGGAGAAGAGCTGCATGGAGGTGGGGCGTATGTCAGGGAGCTTCATCCTTAGGTCTGCATAGTAAGAAAATATTCTTCATCGCATTTGGTACACTCTCAAGAGGTGGTGACTCATCTATCTACGGATCGTCCTCTTCTCGACGATGGTTTGTTCGTCGATCAATCGGAGATGATTTACTCAATATATTTGTGATCATTTTATTTGCAAATCATTTAGCAATTTTAGTAACAATACTCTGTAAATTACGTTGATGAGATTTTCGTCAATGATCAAACGATTCTAGTGGCTTAATCCTTCACTAGTGATCTATAAGAAGGTCATAATTTAATCAAATAAAAGTACGAGTTTTGAACTCTAATAAAATTCAAACCCGTGTCGGTCGCCTACTTGCGTGAGAGAGAGGAAAATAAGTATGTAAATACCCTTATAAAGTGACATCATCAAACTACCTCCTTCTAATAAACAAGGGATATTTTAGGTATTAAAACCTTTAAAATCATTCTGGGGAAGGTGTGACTACCGATTTAGTCTCACATCAATTATATGTTGATTGTTGAGATGCATATATGGTAACGTGAGATTTGGGAAGCAATGAGTCCCTTTCTCGCATGTGTATGACCACTCCTTGCCCTATAGCCTGCTGGCCACGGGTGATGTGGGAAGAGAATGGTGCACACATGCCCCCATTGGTCCATAACCACTGAAGCCCCCACTTGTGGCTCTGCCCCAACTATGCTTCTGACCTACTCACGGGCCCAGTTGGCAAGCGGGTCCCCCCCTTTTTCTATTTTTTCTTTTCTTTTTTTCTTTATTTATCTCAAAAATAGGATTAGAAAAATCATAAAAATTTATATAAAATCACATAATTAGCCAAAAAATCACATTAACTAATAAAAAACCACTTTGTCCTTTACCACCATGGTAGCCACCTTTATGCATACTAAGTTGGCTATTAATTTTTAACATTTTCTAGAAAGAAGAAAATAAATAATTCTCTTATTATCAGTCTGAAGCTCATCTGATTTTGTCAGAAGCTAAGCGTCTAGTAGAGCACATTGCCCATAAACTCATATTTTACTACAAAAGTCGTAAAAAAATAATTATATGACATTGTGTGGTGTCCTAAGAAGAAACCATGTAGGAAATAGCATACTTAATACATACACATTTCACTTTGTTTGCATCAGCCTATACTCTCTCTCTTGTTTTTTCTTTTTTTTTTATTGAATAGAAGCATTTTACACGAATTGGATGTGTGTTTTCTTGCTAACGATAGTTTATAAATACCTGATTACCCAAATAAAATTTCCATAATTGGTCCATAATTGGCTCATTATATTGGTAGAAAAAAAAATAATGAGCCAAGTATGTTGTATGATTTGAGGGCCCATAATGTTTTCGCACATTAATTTAATGTCATTTTATCGTATGATGGACTTCAGAGAAATTGGCATCATCCAACAACATGGATGTGGGAAGTTTGGTAGTTTCATGAATATTCTACTCTTACACGTGTAATAATTTAAAGAACTTGGGATCAGTCAAAATTCTTGCCAAAAACCTGCAACGGCAAAAATAAAGCAACCGTTATTTCTTTTTTATAGATTTTAATTATATTTTTGGCATGAATAAGTATTTATGCGGCGCGGACACTAATACGTAAATTAAAAATTACTGAATTTCTGTGTGAATATGGCGGGAATTATCCGCTTGTAAAATAAGTCTCCCAAAAATATTGAGATATTATTTTATTTATTTATTTGCTCCGCGCCGCCCTTCCTGCTTTCGGCTAATCCGGCGGCGCGCTTCCCCGAGAGACCTAGCCGGTTCTTTTCCGGCGGGCGAGACTTCGGAGACCAAACCAACTAGGCTTTGACCTGCCCCCGCCACCCCCGGTCTTCCGGATATTACGGCAAGGGGCGGCGCCGCCTGAGGAGCTTTCGAAAGTGAAGAGCGAAAAGCCGAAGAACCCTAAAGCAAAAGCTTGCGGGAGAAGCGAGGCCCACGGAGGTGGAATCCCACTGAACCCCTTTTCTCCACCTTCCCCTTAAATCTCTATCATTTCTCTCTCTCTCTCTTTCTGTAGGTCTGCGACGTGTTCTTCTTTCTGTCTGACAGAGGGTCGTGGTCGTCGTCTTCCTCGTCAGATCTTCTGCCGATATCGTCGTTTTTTCATCTTCCTTCGTCTCCGCCAGCCCGTCGGGAGGATCTGGTCCGACCCTGTAAAACCCAAGGCTCGCCGCCGGCGTGGGTAATGGCGGCGAACAAGCTCGCCGCCGGGCTTCATCGTAGAACCCACCGCTTGTTGCCGGCGCTGGTTTACACCCTGCTGGAGTTGACCCTGATCGTCCTCCTCCTATTTAACGCCCTCCTATCCTACCTCGCCGCCAGGTTCGCCGCCTACTTCAGGCTTCATCCCCCCTGCATCTTCTGCTCCCGCATTGACCACCTCCTGGAGGGGCGCGGACGCGGCGGCGTCGGCGGCGGCATTGCTTCCGCCGCCCGCCGGGGGCTCCTCTGCGATGCCCACGCGGCGGAGGTCTCCAAGCTGGGGTTCTGCTCCGACCACCGGCGGCTCGCCGACGCCGGCGGCATGTGCGGATGCTGCTCGTCCTCGCTGCCATCGCCGCCGGATCGCCGCCGCCGGCAGACGGTGGCCCTGTTATCGGTGGTGGAGGAGGCAGTACAGGGTTGCTCCAGGTGTTCTTGCTGCGATGTGGAAATGGAAAACCCCGAGCTTTACCCCTACCTGTTCTTAAAGCTGGGGTATACCCAGAAGGGGAAATGCCTGTCGGAGACGACGACGGATTCGGCGGCGGCGGCGGCGAAGATTGCTCGTCCCCTTTCTGCTCACAAAGATGTGATAGGCTGCGACGGCGGCGGCGGCGGCGGCGATGGCCGGGCATGGGTCTCACCGCCGGACCCTGTTGCTGGTGGTGGTGGCGAAAGAGTCAACGATGACCTCCAGAGGGCGGCGGAGGAATCAATGGGGGACGTCGGGCTGATACGCCGGATTGAACCTCTTAAACCGCTGGAAGACCCTCAAGAAAGCCACTGTAAGTTCTTGTGGTTGACCATTTACGGATTAACAGCCGCCGTTTGAATGTCGGAATGTCTGAATCGGCATTGCAGCGTCTGGGGAGGACGAGCAGATCCCGAACGGGGAGACGAACTGCGAGGTGTCTATAGGAAGCGAGATTTGCGACAGGGAGTGGCTGCTCGTTGACCAGCGCCGTCTTCAAGCTGCAGATGAAGGTCCCGTTGGTCTGCAGAAGAGATACGTCCTCAAAGAGGGAGAATCCGGGACAGAGTCCGCCGACGGAAGTGTTGGGGGTGAGATCGCAGGTGGTGATGTTCTTACCGCTGATCAGCTCAAGGCGGCGCTAATGGCGGAACGCAGGGCTCTCAGTGCGCTGTACTGGGAGCTTGAAGAAGAGAGGAACGCCTCCGCCATAGCCGCGAACCAGACCATGGCCATGATTACCAGGCTACAAGAGGAGAAGGCCGCCGTGCAGATGGAAGCACTACAGTACCAGAGAATGATGGAGGAGCAATCCGAGTTCGACCAGGAGGCCCTGCAGATGCTCAACGAGATCCTGATCAAGAGAGAGAAGGAGAAGCGAGAGCTGGAGAAGGAGTTGGACCTGCTCCGGAAGAAGGTTGCCCTCTGCGAGTCGAAGGAGAGGAGACGGTTGAAGAGGGCAGAGGTCAACGCCAAGCGCAAGGCATCTTCTTCCTCCTCCAGCACTGAAGACTGTGACGACCGCTCTGTCGATAATGGCGGAACTGTGACGGCCTCTCTGGCCTCTGCTGGTGAATCACCGGCCGATCTCGAGGAAGAAAGGCTCGCCATCATCGACCAACTCAAGCCTTTGGCAGAGAATAGCAGCGAGAATGAAGAAGGAGACGAGGGCGAGTTCTGCTCCTCCCGCATTAGTGGATCCCTAGAAGGCTATGAAGGCTGCCCAAGAACAATGTTGGGTTGGCGAGCGAAGTCCCTCCTCCCACTTTTTGAAGCCGCTGCCATGGAAAGTGGAGCGAACTTCTCTCAGGGCTCGGACTTAAAGCCAGGCCATGAGCAGACGAAGCACGCCATCCTCGAGAATGCGCAGGCCCGGGAGCTGGACGCTGGGTTCCTGTAGCACTGCATCTTCGTGCCTGTGGATCTTGGAGAGGTGGTTGCGCCGCCGTTTAGATCAGGGAAGACCGTGAGAATCAGATCTTCCAGAGCCCCTGAACCAGGAAATCACTGCTGGCCATGCATCAGTTTGATGAGGGAGAGAAAAAAGAGGAAATATGAAACATGAATTAAAAATATCCTTCATTTGCACCAAAAAATAGGTAAGTGGTTTTATGATCTTATGGGTTTTTGAATGTATTTGTGATCATATCATCCTGACTGATGCCCATTGATCTTCTCTTTCATTTTTATTTTATTTTTCGAAAAATGGAAATTCCTCGGAAAACTTGTGTCTTGCTCCACAAAAATAACGAAAATGAGGTGAGTGAGAGCAAAATACTTCAATTTACTTCACAAATCTCTGGGTCTTGAGGTGCATAGCAAAATTTACTTCAATTGGAAGAGATTCACACTATTGAACTTACATAAATATTTCACATTTATCTCAAATTAGTATGTTTTCTGAATGTTTTATGAATATGTAATTGGTAGACAGCATCGGGACCAAAGTAGGTTAGATAAGGAGTCAATAAAGGAGTGAATTTACTCTGAAAATTTCCCACTTTTCGTTGACTTCAAGTGATTTTTCTTAGAACATTAATAGGGCCAACACAATTTAGATCAACTAACTTGAGTTAATTCACTAGGTCAACTAACTTCAAGTGTGCATTTATTTAAGAGGGATTTGATTTTTCATAGCCTATGTTTACCTACCAACAAAATTTCCCCATTATTTTTAACATTATTTATTTTCACGATAATTATAATTATATTTACAAGATCAGCAAAATCCCATTATATGATATATTTCACATGTCTATTTCTTCAAACCATAGAACAATTCAATTACCTTATATTTTCCTTTATCATATGCACTCTCTTGAATGTAAAATGAGAATGTTTCTCAAATTTGATGGATGTGCTCCTTAATTTTGCAAAACTTTGGAATGTTTGAAGAATTTGGGGCATTGATGTATTGGTTGATTGATTTTGATGTGCAATTAATTATCTGTTTAAAGACTCTTGAGGTTGACTATTTATGAAGCTGGATAGTTGATCATTAAAATTCAAATAATTCATATTTTTATTGATAAAAAATATCACTTCAATACTTGGGCTGACCAATCAAACAATTTGTGCTATCAGCTTATTGGATTGACTAGCTTTTAACCAAATTGATGTGCATACATGTCAACGGAAAGCTTTTCTGAAATATTTTTAATCTTCTAACATTTCAAAATTCATTGCAAAATGGTAGTTTATTGTGCTATGGTGGTTCATTGTAAATGATCAAATTGCCTTTTCATTTGTTAATATCATATAAGATAACCTTTTTTTTTCTTCTCTAGAATTTTATTCACCATTCGATAGGTTGACTAAATAATTCATCTTTCTTTCTCCTTAATTTGACTTTGGGATCTTTATTGACTTACTAAATTTACTCTCAAGTAGGTTGGGTTGATTTTCTTATCTTTTTCAGGAAATTTATTTATATTTTTTGTTTTACTCTTAGTCTAATTTTATTCTTTTGGCTCTCTTCATCGACGGATTTTTTTCTTGATTTTATACTTGAGAAATATAACAAAAAAGTAAATAGACAGGATCTTTACCTATTTGTTAGTTAGTAATAACTATTTATGGTCAGTTTTTCCCTCTTTGGGTCTTATTTGTCAACGTCAACACTCTTAAAACAATGATAAATATATATACATAAAATATTAGTCCACCCTCCATTAGCCGTGTGAAATCTAGAAGTACTAGTGCACTATTTTTCCTTTCAAATCAAGTTAAAAAGTCAAAACTACGTATAATCATAACAAGTAAGCTGCTGGTACACACAAATTTTATGAATTTTTTAAGGCCAGGTTACTAAAACTTATCTCGTATACTGCGTGGCGCGTTGACTATGGGAGTGGTACAGTTAGTCGTGAAGTATTTAGCTGTAAGACGGTGACTTGACGCGCAAGGACGCGGAGATTTCCTCTCACCGGAGTCGTCATGGGGCCTCCAAGGTCTGGAAAGCGTAGGATCGATTGCCTCGACGCGCAGGAGCAGGAAGAGCAGCAGGAGAGAGATCAAGGGAAATCATGAGGTTGTGGGAGGAAGATAGAAGAGATCGCTCCAAATCAGGGGGCGGAGGCGGGGGCAGGACGCTGATGAAGAAACCCCGGCAGATCTTGGAGAGCCTCGCTAAGCCCTTTTTACGGCGATCCGGTGAAGGTACGGATCACGCGCTTCTTCTTCACCTCCTCTCCGCTCTCCGTCGCGCGGTGTTAGGGTTTGTGAGATTACGGGAGATCGCCCCGAGAGACCTGGTTTGTTTCTCCGTTTGATCTCCCCGTTCTCTCTTTCTTCTTCCTCCGTGCATCCGTAATCGGTCTTGACCTGCGTGTGGACAGGCGCGGGGGAGGAGGACTTGCAGTCCATCGCGGCCAGGGAGCAGAAACAGTTCTCCTACGATGTCCTCGCCGCCGCCACGCACAACTTCAGCGTCAAGAGCAGGCTCGGTGAGGGAGGTTTCGGGGCCGTCTACAAGGTGAGGGATCTGTTCATCTTGTCCTCCGATTCATCCATCCTGTCGATCAATCGATCGGGAATTTCATCGCAAGATGGGGATCCGGTGACTGAGGGGAAGATTGATGGCGGCGCAGGGGCGGCTCGACGACGGGAGGGAGATCGCGGTGAAGAAGCTCTCGCGGGGGTCGAGGCAGGGGACCAGGGAGTTCATGAACGAGGCGATCCTGCTCTCCCGCGTCCAGCACAAGAACGTCGTCAATCTCTACGGCTACTGCGCCGCCCCCGCCGCCCCCGCCACTGCCGGCGCCGACGGCCACGGCGAGAAACTGCTCGTGTACGAGTACGTCGCCAACGAGAGCCTCGACAAGTTCCTCTTCCGTACGTCGCCTCGCCTTCTCCCTCCTTCCCCCACATCCTCTGCGCCGTCGCCTTTCCTGAAGGTCGCCGGAGGAGACTTGCCGGCCAAGGCACAGCATCCGCGAGATCGAGCAGAGCTTTCTCCATTTACTCTTAAAACGACGCCCCTTCGCCGTCCGATCTGGTTTTTCCGCTGACCGATCGCCGGTGGGTGTGGTGATGGTGATGCAGACGCCGAGAAGAGGAGGATGCTGGACTGGAGGAAGCGGCATGAGATCATCGCCGGCGTGGCCCGGGGGCTGCTCTACCTCCACGAGGACGCCCACACCACCATCATCCACCGGGACATCAAGGCCAGCAACGTCCTCCTCGACGACAAGTGGGCGCCAAAGATCGCCGACTTCGGCATGGCCCGCCTCTTCCCTGAGGACCAGACGCACGTCAACACCCGTGTCGCCGGAACCAAGTCAGTGATTTGCCCCTCCTCTTCCTTCCTCCGCCGCCGCTGGTGGCGGCGCCGCCGGTGAACTTGGGTGCTGACTTCGGTGGTGGGTTGGTGCGCAGCGGGTACATGGCCCCCGAGTACGTGATGCACGGGCAGCTGTCCACCAAGGCGGACGTGTTCAGCTTCGGGGTGCTGGTCCTCGAGCTGGTCAGCGGGCGGAAGAACTCCACCTTCACCCCTCGGGGCGATTCCCAGAACCTCCTCGAGTGGGTAAGCCCGATCGAAAACTCCCTTCTTCTTCTTCTTCCCTGGTTTTCACCAGCCAGTCTCTGAGACTCGAGATCCCCCTTGACAGGCGTGGAGGCTGCACCAGAGGAAGCAGAGCCTGGAGGTGATGGACGAGACACTGCGGCTGCCGGCGGCGGCGGCGGCGGCGGAGCAGCAAATTCAGACCTGCATACACGTCGGGCTTCTCTGCACGCAGGCCGACCCCAAGCTTCGCCCCGAGATGCGCCGGGTGGCGCTGATCCTGTCCAAGACCTCCAATAATACCCTGGAGGAGCCCATCAAGCCCGGGTTCCCCGGCACGAGGTACCGGAGGTCCGGCGGCGGGACGAGGAGCTCCGCCGGCGACGGCGGCGGCGACCGTTTCTCTCGCTCGTCGTCCTCCGCCTCCCAGTCCACCTTTGGCTCCAACTCCCACCCTAAAACCACGACCACCCCGAGCGCCACCGTCAGCCATAGCACCATCCGACTGCAACGCCCGGGGAAAGCTCCGCTGGAGGAGTAGTAGCCCCTCCACCTGTGCGGAGACGATTCTTTGCCATTTCTTTCCTCTTCGATCGAAATTCAGCTGTAAATCACATGCTACGACCAGCTCCATCTTCCTCCCTGTACAGAAATCATCAGCCGACGACTGTAGACGACGACACAGAGAGAAAAATAGAAATAAAATAAATGAAATGCATCCAGATCCGAGTTTTTCTCAAAGAACATCCCGATGATCCGTCCTGACAAGTATGGTCCAGTCGTCTCATGTTCTCTGCCCCCATAAGGGTTATGGAAACCACCAAAATTCGTGCTTTTTCTTCTTTTTTTCCCCATAATCTTAGAATAATTTACGAAATCCGCTAAGAGTAATTTGGACCCATTGATTAATTTTGGACGTTGGCGTCGGTAAGGGCTATGCTGGTATTATAAGGGATTTTTTAATATCTAGTTTTATTTATTTATAAAATAAATATTAGGGGTAATTTTTATTTATGGCCCCGCCCCTCCCCCCCCCCTCCCCCCCCCTCCCCTAATGCGATGGATCACCACAGCGACCGCGTCGAAGATAGAAGCACGTGCCGCTAGGTGTCGCACGTGCGGAAGAGGCTGGGGGGGCGGGCGGGGGGAGTGGTGCCCGTGGGAAGGTATTCAGATCTGGGAGGTGTACGTACCGTCCGAGGAGAAAGTAGCACAAGGCCGGTGGGTTGTGGCCTCCGGCAGGTTTCGTGCAGTGGCTTAGTATGTAGCTGAAGACGCGCGGGTTCTAGGGCGGGGGGGTTTGGGCGGGGAGCCCTCCGGTGGCCGGGAAATGGCGAAGCCTCGGAAGCAGAAGGCGGGAGAGCAGCCGAGCAAGCCCGCAGGCAGTTCTGCGGCGGCGGGGACTGTTCGCCACCAGAAAATCTGTCTGTCCGTCGACATGGAGAGGCGCATGATCTACGGGTAAGTGAGAGCTCGCCCCTCCCCCGAGCTCCCGGCTCATTTCTATCTTCTTCCTACTAATCTGGAGCGGCGGGGCGAGGGCTCTGTTTGGAGTTTATTCTGGCTCGTCGTTTGCTCTCGCGAAATTAGGGAACTGTATGGCTCTATTCGTGGACCAGGGAGAGATAGTGTTGTCCGCAGAAGAAAATGAACCTTTACTCTCATTCATAGCATTGGCTGGAGGACGCTTATTCATACATCGCAAGTTTCGCACATCTTCTCGGCATTTGGAGTTCCTTATTTCCCCTTCTTCGCAAAAGATATTGTGGAGAATTGATTAAAGTACTGAAGGACACTAACTTTGAGAAAGAATGTTGAATTTTTTTCTGCGGGATATCATCCTCAAAGACAGAGGATCGACTGGGATGGGATGATGGTGGTTGCCGATGGGAAGCATTACATGGAGTGGATCCTGTAGGGTTTCCCTGCAACCTCTGTCTTTCATTCAAATATCTTTCCTGAAAAATTTCCCTGCCACCTCAAATTGGTGTTCAGACCCAGGCTTCTGGCTGAAGATGGGTGTTCCAAGATCTAGTTTCATTGATCATCTAACCAAAGACCAAAGGAAGGTAGATGACCAAATAGTCCTCTCTGGCATCCTTGACAAGGCATATGTTCCTCCCTTCTTGGGACGTTGTTCATATGCTACTCTATCTATCAAGTGCCGTTCTAAATTCGAAATGTCCATGATTGTCACCTCACGGGCTCATTAAGCGAGGGGCCATCGGCCCTGACTGCCCACTGAATCCACTAGCGATCGAGCACGCCCCAAGCCGATTGCAGCTCCCCTAGAGCCTTCACCTGACGTGGCAGTTCGATTCCCAACATTGACGCCAGGATTGCCAATGAGCAACGTTCCTTTTAGGCCTATATTCTGTCTCGGTTAGAATGATGGCTCTGCTGCATGAGTGGACATTCAATTCTGTCTTCAAGTTGGTGATTTTTTTTCCAACAACATCCCACAAGGTCAATCAGCTTTTCATCGTTTTCCTGGCAAGGGCACGGAAGAGATGGCGAATATGAGTAGAAGAGTCTCAAATCTCCTGAGAAGGAAAAGCTTCTCATAGCCGTAATTGAAGTTATGCTGCCCTCCTTGTAGATTCACAACCTCCTTTGCACATCCTGGATGAATCACCGAATGTCAATCTAGATCAGCAAGCGTCTTGTTAGACGGGCACATTGATAAGAGTGTACTTTTTAGAAATTCTTAAGCCGGTGGACGAATTTTGATCAGAGTCTAAGTGTGGGAAGAGAGGGAGCTGCAAGTATGTTGGAGACCTGTTGTGAACGTTGGTTAAAAGATTGAGGGGGTGGGGGAGGGGTGGCTTCCTTTCAATTATATGGAACATTCTTGGGCATGTGCGAGGCAATACTAAGTTTTCTTCTGTTCGCATCATATCTTACGTGGAAACTTGACTTTTTCCTCTTACTGATTTTTGTGTCACAAGAGTGGCCTGATGTCAGATGGGAAAGATCGTGTTTGTTGAAGTGAACAATACTATAATTTGGGTATGACATCTACCTCTATGTTGTACTCTAGAATAAATCGATCTTGTCTGGGTCGCTGGCCTGAGGGACAGTAAAACATAAAAGAGAGTTATGGTTGGCACATTGCCCTTATTCAAGAACTACAATGCAAATGGTTCTGCCCTTCACCCTTTGTGTACTTCCAGCAGCCTTCGATACTAAAGTAGCAAAAATTGGAAGTACTCTGTTGAACATGTGAAATTGGGGACAGTAGGCTATGTCGTACGTAGACACAATGTCATGGCTTTGGTAAGGGATCCCCTGTATATTTTACTCTTTTCTGTGTTGATTATTTGTTGAATCTGCTTCTTGTATCATGTAGTCAGGTATGTGCCACATGGTAGTTTCTGTACTCAGTTTCATTCATGAGTTTATTGGTGTGTTAACTACGACACTTGTTGAATGATCTCAATGTTTCTTTGTTCACTAGGCACACAGAAATGGAAATCCGTTTTCCTGAGAGTGAAGTTATTGGTTTGAATGCTGTCAATATGACCATTGGGAGTATCTCTGTGAATGGCGAATCAGCCGACTTTGAATTTTTTGAACTTTCTTCACAAATTGAAGACGGGGAAAGAAGGTTTTCAGTATCATGCTGCACCACTGCTGCTGATGCTGCCTGTTCGACATACATTTCATCTCTTGACAAAGAAATGTTGCCTAATTTGTTCATTTCATGTCGTAAGACAGAGAATTCACTGAATGATCAAAACAACCTAGCAAATGGTGGTGGGAAATTGCAAAATACAGAAGACCACAATAGTATTCCTAATGGTCATCTTGACCATGATTTGCACCAGGTGATAACAGAAAGTGGCAGATGCCTCCTTTAGTCATTCTACTCTTGAATTTTGTTGCAGTAGAATTCAAGGAAATGGTTCATGCATTTGGTTTCTCATGTAGGCTGATATTGGTGCAGAATGTCAAATTAGTTCGCATAAACTATCAAGTAGATGTGAATGAAAGTTGCATTCACTTTGAGAGCAATCTGCTGTGTACAGAAAACCAGATAAGACGAGCACGCTGCTGGTTCCCTTGTATGGATAGTAGTTCTCAGTGCTCTTGGTATGTTTACTATATTCTTCATTTTATGTGGAATATTTTCACGTATATTTTATTTTTATTTAATTTTAATATGCTTTTCATATTCATTTTCTTATAATTTTGATATCCAGCTATGATCTAGAGTTTACGGTTGATTCAAACCTTGTGGCTGTCAGCAATGGGGACCTACTCTACCAGGTCCGAGTCAATTGGAAAAAGTTTATTTCTTCTTTTTTTGATATGTTACTGTGAGGTATGATCTTAAACGTTATGGCATAATACGTGGATATAACTTATCATGGATGTGGAAGTTTTGAGACTTGGGGATTTGAATGAAATAATTTAGTGGCTATTGCATCCAAAACTGTAAGATCCCAAAACCTTGATACGTGGCCTATTTCGGATCAGAACTGCAGTTCCTGAACCAGCAAATTCACTGTTTTATATGTGATACTTTAAGAGCATGGATTGAAAACCTTTAACGGGGTAAATGGTAGGAAATTGTCATTTTTGATAGATGGGCAATTCAGCCTTCACCAACTTACTTGTTCAAGGTTCTGTTACAATTATTTATAAAGAACATCCTGTTATGCGATTTCAAATTTAGTGAATTTGTGGCGCCATCCATTTGTCAAGAAAATATTCTCATGAAGGTACCAAAAATGTTTCTTCGTAAGGAAATCACATAAGATCTTGTTAAGGCTAATTTTTAAAAATCAAATTAAAAATTTAAGGATGAAGTGTTGACGTCACATTCAAAAATTAGGATGCTTTTTTTATTCAATTTATACATGTATGAGAATATCAAACAAATCTATTTTGTGCGAAATAAAATGTACATGGTACATAAGATCAAGAAATCTAGGTTTCATTTGGTCACTGCGCTTTCTTGCACAAGTCCAACAACAATAGGTCAAAAAATTGCTTTTCTTAGTATTTATTAAGGTATGACAAACCCTAATAATGAGATGATTGATTTGTTGTTGTCATTAAATGTTAAATGAATCGTGTATCTTCGAAGGTTCCTTTTGGCATTGTCAAGGTTTCCCTTCTTTCATATCAATAGTTCATCAGAAGTTTGCCAATATTCTATATAGTGAAAATTGAACATTTCATTCTACCAGATCATTTGACACATACAATTGTGTGACTGGTTTCTTAGATAGATGCTGATGTCATAATTGTCGTACAATGCTGGTTCATTCTACCAAATATTTTAACATATCCAAAATATAACCCGCTAGGTTTGGAAATTGTGACCTGTACTCTTTTGTCAACTGACACCAACTTGGCATGCATGTTTCCTAAACCCTTCAGCTGAGGATAGAAGTTATCCAAAATGCTGAAAGAAGGAATACGCTGTACATGCTATCTCTCTGTTTGATATTTGGAATTGCTTTAATTTCTTTGATAGCTAATCCTAGAAATGTAGTTTTTTCCGCTTAAATACTAACATTCTCTGGTTACATCCACTATGATTATTTGCAGGTCTTGAGCAAAGATGATCCTTTGAGAAAAACGTACATTTATAAGTTAGACATTCCTGTCAGTGCTGGTTGGATATCTTTGGCTGTTGCTCCCTTCGAAATATTGGCAGATTCTCACAATGCTCTTCTATCATACATGTCTATGGCCGGAGATTTTTCGAAACTTAAAAATACCGTTGGTTTTTTCCACAGTGCATTCAGGTGAGCTCTCAAATCACGGACGTTTGCTGAAAATGTTTCCATTTTTTTTTTCACTACTATACTTTTGAGGTGAAGTTATTCTTTGAAACTGTGCATGTTTTTTTTACAGCCACTATGAAGATTACCTTTCTACATCTTTCCCATTTCGGTCATACAAGCAAGTTTTTGTCCCACCAGAGTCCTCATTATCCCCAGCGAACCTGGGTGCTTCCATGTGTATATTCGGTTCTGATCTGTTATTTGATGAAAAGGTTATAGACGAGGTTGGCAATTTTTTCTTCTGACTGAAATATTCTTTCATATGGTGATTCAAAGTTTTTCTTTCTTCCTTCATATTGTAATGCATACGCTTGGGTTTCTGTGGAGTAATTTTCTCTCTAGGAACTTTCTCTTGATACTTTTCCTTTCCTTTTGTTTGGTGGAAACCTGATTTAGGCGTTGAATATCTGAGAGGCACTTTCAGCTCCACATCTGACATGGCTGTTGAAACTAAAATTAATGCCAGAACCAGCCACATGAGCCTGGATGATTTTTTCAAAAATGGAATGATCTAAATCTAAAAAATAGGGCAAATGTTAAATGTTGGAAGCATATTTCATTTGATCTCTTTTCTGGATCTCCTTTTTTGCCACCACTTCTTGCATTTGCTCTGAAATAATTGATAATACATGTGTATCTGTAGGTTTTCAAAAAACTCCCTGTACATCAAATGTGTCCTAGACCGAGATGGTGGAGGCCACAAAAGCATGTCCAAAATGACAGATTCATCTCCTTCCATTTTGCCTTAAATCACTCGCACTCTTTGATCTTTCCACACACCCAATTATAAGCTTTCATAGCTGAGGACGTTTCTCTTTTAATAGATTCTCGTTTCTGTATGTTAAAATAGCCCAGAAAGTTGTAGGGAGGGAAAACCACAAACTTCTATGATCTTTTATGTCCAATGCGTGTTAGCATGTGTGATACCTTGTCAACTTGGTTTGGGTATTGCCATTGTAAACGTAGTGTAATGCTTCATTTATCATCTTGCTTTAGTATTCTTACTGTGTTGACCAACTCCACGTCTATCAATGGGCTTTTACATGTAATTCAAAATTGAGCTCCATACAGTTTTGAGTTACACATTAAAAAATGAATTAATTTTTTTTCGCTTTGGCAGAAATCATCCATCCTAATTAAGTTATTATTAAATAATTACTTTCTTAAATGTAAAAGTGGCGAGAGATGATGAACCACTGTTTATACCTCGGGGATCAAGGAAGAAATATAGAATGATTACAAAACGGCTTCATGCTTTACAGTTTAGCTTGTTTTTTATTTTTTGGTCCTCTGTGATTCACAAATTCCAAAATGTGTAGTTGCTTAGAGCGGTGGCCTATCTATTGCCCTCCCTTAGATTTCCTTTGAAAGAATATTTGCATGTATATGCCAGAAAATGGACTGATCTTGGTCTGGCTCAAGAGCTGACAGTTTTTTCTGCGAGTTTTGCATTTCCCATCTTGTCAGTGAACTCTTTAGTTGGTTCAAAGTATTTGTCTTTAAAACATCCGAATCAAGTCTTTGATATTTGCATGCAGACGATTGAAACCCGAATCAAACTTGCTTGTGCTCTTGCAAGGCAGTGGTTTGGTGTTTATATTATTGCAGAGACTCCAAATGATGGTAAGCTTGCTAAAGAAGCTTATTCATTTCATCAACCATTAGGTGGACTATAGGCAACTCCGAGATCACTACATGTGCATTATTGTCTGCAGAGTGGCTAGTGGATGGCATTGCTGGATTTCTCACCGATTCATTTATCAAGAGGTTTCTTGGAAATAATGAAGCCCGCTATCATCGCTACAAGGTTTTTTTTAATAATCCTATAGCTCAAGCTTGTCATTTTTTCACTTTGTAGATATCATGATGGGTAGGGAGTTAGTTGTTTAGCTGCAGTTGATTAGCTCTCGTGACATTTGGCTGATTTTACTGCTAGGTTTTGTTGTATCCTAGTTTCCAAGAAAACCCATGAACAGGAAAACATTGCTACCCAATACCTCAGATAGATAATTGTTAATAACGAGTAAAGTTTGGATTGATATTTATACTCCATACAGGCAAACTGCAGTGTTTGTAAGGCAGATGTTAGTGGTGCAACTGCATTAAGCTCCTCTGCGGCAACAAAAGATTTATATGGGACTCATCGTCTTGGTTTGTTTGGGAAAGTTCATTTGTGGAAATCTGTAAGTTGGCTATTTTCTGTCTACCAGTCCCTTTTTTTAAAATGACCGCTGGTAAATTTTTGTGCCATATTCTTCTCGTCAGGTAGCTATTCTTCAAATGCTGGAGAAGCAGATGGGCCCAGAGTCCTTCCGAAAGGCAAGAGACTTTCTTTTCAATTTGTTTGTCCGTTGTGGTGCACACTCAACATTATTCAGGAATGGAATAACATGATAGCATTATAAAAAAATTATAAACATGATGCTTATTATTTGTCAACATATGGATAATGCTGGTGCCTTTGGGGCTAGTTCTGTGCTTCAGAAGGTGGTACCATCTTACATCTTAATCTGTCACAATTTTCATCTATCATTCCTAACAGGAGGCTCATCTATAACAATTTTATAATGATGCTTCTGGTAGCATTAACAATTTTCATAAAAGAAGGCTTAAACTAGAAAGCTTTTTTTGGTGTCAAGTAATTATAGCAACCTAAACTTTCGTGACGGTAAGGAATCTACAAAATGTCATTTGACATTTTTTGGATAAGTTATAATTATTCATTGATTCGGACAAATCCACCTTGAAATAGAACCGATTCAACAAACGATGAAGGATTAAGTTATATTGCACTAGGAACAATTTTATTGAGGCATGTTTTTTCGTTTTCTTTGTAGTCATGTGGTTTTTTGTTGGAAGTGTTTTGTATTATTTCATTTGCATGAAATGTTTTTTGACTGTGAAAGAAAGTATATGTCTGATTTTCTTTTTCAAAATTCAGATTCTGCAGATAATTATTTACAGGGCTCAGGATCTTGCGCGCCCCCTGAGGACGCTCAGTACAAAGGAGGTGACAACTGTCTGATGCAATTCAACATTCACTTTTTTCCCCTTATATTTACATTTTTTTTTTGTATGTACTGTCTACTAAGCTGCTGTTCGGTTGTTTTGGACAGTTGACCGAATATGCTATTTTTGCTTTTATCTACTTATTTTGTGTAGTATTCGATTTTTTGTTTTAAGATAATTGTTATTATCGTGTCCATGAAGTCGAAAGTAATTCAAAACCATTGGGAAAACTTATACTCTAAAATTTTGGCATCTGTTGTTTTATAGCTGGATGAATCTCAATAGCGAACTCGTTACAAAATAAAATATTATTCACCAAAAGGGTGTTTTGACATCATTGTAAACCTCCATAAAGTAATGTTATACTCTAAATCTTCTGATTGGGGAAGTGTGTTCTCTATAAAATTCATTGACGCAACAAAACAGGTCTCCATGGTAGCTCTGGGTCATGAGACTCTCTATAAATGGAGAAAGTGAGACTCTATCCTTTTGTGGATATTGATGGTTTTTTGAACAGAAATTTGGGCCCACATTGTACCTACTCTCATTTTGATCTGTTGCTTCTCACGTTTAGATAAAAGTGTCTTTTAAGTTGTCAGCCTTACCAGATTATTAGGCTCCAACGCTGCTTTTAAAGGCGCCATATCCTATGATGGAGTTTAGTAGGAAAATGCCAGATCAACGAAATGTATGGTGGTTAGAACTGATTTTAGAAGTTTTATGATAGTCTGTGGTGACGGTTGATGGGATTTTTTCTGTGATTGGTCAAGCAGAAATTCTTCAACTAATGATAAGTTTCTGTAGCTCGCTTCGCTGCTTTAATAAGCATATTTGGTTTCTTCAGATGCTCCTTGCTATTTGAAGTGTTTTCTGTGATTTGCTCTGCCAAATTCTCTTTTTTTTTTTGGTGGGGCAGGTTGTACATGATTAAAGCTGTCTCTAAAATACTCATCAGATTAGTTTGTGGTGGTGATAGCATACGAATCACATAGATGTTGTGTGAACTGTATACTTTTGTTGAATTATTATTGATTTTGCCGTTGGGATTGTTCGACTCCCATACAGGCCACCTTAAGCTTTTTTAAGGGCTGATTTGATAAGTGGTTAAGCTTAACTAGATTCACCTAGTCTTGGTTCCAGATACCAGTTTTACTGGCTTTCAGTCCGATAATGCTCTTAATTTCCGTCATATATTAACTTGGGCTAACCTAGTTTTCACTAAAGCGGCTGAGCTGAAGTTCGTAATCAGGCTGGGTTTCCACCGTTCGACCCTTTTAGTCGAATAGCTTAAGCAGCCTAATCTGAGTTTATCCATGACCGGGCCTCAGTTGCTCAGCCATCCGAGCTTATCAAGCTCGTATAAACTGGTCATTAAACCACCATTAAGAGTTGAGTGGATCTATGCAGATGATGTGGACAGATTTCCAGAATCAGAGGACAATAGCCAAGTGGTCATTGGTGGATGCACTTACTACTTTCTTATGGAAAACCTTGTGCGATGTAAAATGAAATGAAGTATAGGCATGCCGAATCATGGATTTCAGAGCTATGTGCAACTCCTCAAGTGCCCAGAAGACTCCCCCCCTACTATAATATGAAGTTACAATGCGCTGCCTTAAATTTAAACTTTGGTTTAGTAGGCTTGGGCCAGTGTAGCCACTGGGTCTCAGAGATCTGGCTCGAGTTATCCAGGTCAACCCTGTGAGCCAGATATGATGGTTACTCTTTTCATTCTAGAAGTTCAATATTGTGGACTATGTACCGATCATGAATTGTAGATTCCGTTTCTATTCTCAATAAAATAGTTTCTTTCCCGTGTTTGAGAAATTTTTTTTTTTCCCCTTCAGATGCAGGCAAACTTATTTTCCATTTATACTTCATATTTTATGTTAAAAAACTCATCGTATGTGTATTATCATATGCACAGGATTAAAATTTCAATCCCTATAATCTTGGATCTGGTTAAGGAAAAATTAACCTTTTTTTCCGCCACCCTACAAGTTTTGCCGTTCGATTTTCTTTCTTTTTTTTTTTTATCTAAATGCTTATGCCAGGTGAACTAAAACACCCTACTAATATTTTAAAAAACTATTTTTTGTGTGGATAATATATGACAGTCAATGACATTACTGCAATTTATTTATTTATTTTTTATTTTCTGGACATTGTGATGTGCAGTTCAGACATCTTGCAAATAAGGTCGGCAATTTAGAGAGGCCATTTTTAAAGGAATTTTTTCCTCGCTGGGTAGAATCTTGCGGATGCCCCATTTTGTGGTATGCTTCATATAAGCACAACCTGGAGATGCCTTTTTTAGTATGTATTAATGGGTGCTTTCTTATGCTTCATTTTTTTTTTTTAAATCGATAAGGATGGGATTTTCTTACAATAAACGACGAAATATGATTGAAATGGGTGTTGTGCGGGACTCTACTGCCCCAATCGGTGGCTCCATTACTGCCGACAATCCTGGTGCTGAAAATCGAGAGGGTGGGGCTGGTGGTTGGCCAGGGATGATGAGTATCAGAGTTCACGAACTTGATGGAGTGTATGACCATCCAAGTCTTTCAATGACTGGAGAAAACTGCCAGCTTCTAGAAATACAGTGCCACTCAAAACTTGCTGCCAAACGCGTTCAGAAGCCAAAGAAGGGGACAAAACCTGACGGCGCTGATGAAAACACTGATGCTGTTGGCTCAATGGATGTGCGTGCTTGGTGTGTGGATTTCTTTCTTCCTTCCTTCCTGCTGTTTATTTCATCTCGGTACATTTTCTTAGTTGCTTCGGGGTTCATTAAGGTTTATAACACGTTTTATGCAGCATGGATTCACCGTTGTTATGGCTCAGATCGGATCCAGAAATGGAATATCTTGCTGAAATCCATTTCCACCAACCTGTTCAGATGTGGGTAAGAAATATAATTACTACATAATCATGTATAGTTCTTGAAGATTTGACAATTCGCATGAGAGCAATCACAATCCATCCACACATTTTTATCGCAAGAGATTGAGTCTATTTTAGTTTACTTGGAACATTTACGAAGCAAGTTTGCAAATAAATGAATAATACTATTTTTTTTGTCTGTGTAATCATTCAATTACTACTATTCAATAGTCTTTGAGTACATTTTACGAAATGGGTCTTATTTAGCTGCCTCGCCATTGATTTCTGACATTGTAGTACTGTTGCCCATTTTTGCCTTGTATGAACCTATGTTCCTCGTCTTAGAGCCAGTCTCCAATGAAGCAATAATTGTGCTGTTATTTAATGAGATGTCTGAATCATTTCATAGGCCTCCTCTAGCACTCGAAGCATAAATTTCCTAATGCTTATTTCATGTTCAGTAAATAATGTCACCAAACCCTTCGAATTTTACTTAATTCTGATTGAAATAATGTCACCAATTCCTCTAGTTTTTTTGCTTAATATTTGAATCCGCTTCTTTCCCAGATCAATCAAATGGAGAAGGATAAAGATGTAGTTGCCCAATCTCAGGCGATTGCAATGCTAGAGGCGCTGCCGCAACATCCATTTTCTGTCATTAATGCTCTAAATAATCTACTCAATGATTCAAAGGTCTGTCATTTTTGCACTCCTAGCGTTTTCTGTGACTTCAGGGAAATACTAAATGGTGTTGGTCACGATGTGTAGGCCTTCTGGAGGGTCAGAATTGAGGCGGCCATTGCACTTGCACAAACAGCTTCAGAGGTTTGTCCTTTCTACTATAATTCTCCTTGTGCTTGTTTTTGAAGTAAATGGTGGAAAGATAGTGTGCTTTTTATATAGACAAAGTATTGTACTTTGGCATGGATTCATTTCTCATCCCTAAACATACAGATTGCTCACGGATTAAACATGAGGCTTCTGTCATGCTAATTGGGTCATCTAACCAATACGAATGTGATATGAGTGCCATAAAATTGTAAGTTTGTATCACGGGAAGTGACCTCGTCAGCTGTTCTATTTTTGGGTTTTGTCCCCTGAATAATGTGAATGAAGGGTATGCAACCAAGGAGCAACTATCGGCTTTTGTTACCATGTTCAAGTAAAGTGGACATGTATTTAAAAATAAATAAATCGATTCGAACAAAAACGACTAGTTTCCTAAGCAATATGGACACCATCTAATAGCCTCGAACCGAATTTCAGGCAAAGTTGTTGGCTGTTTAATTAAATATTGCCTTTAGCAATACCTGTTCCTTCCCCAAGGGCCTCCCGTTGGAGTGAGATGTATAACTGTTGTCATGTGTTTCATTCTTCTTCCATGCACACAGTTTCTGTCATCTGCTGCAGACAGGAAGTGGGCGACTTAAGTGTTCCATGGATGCCTATATGAGGCGGAGATGAGTAGGTTCAAGTATATGGCCTGATATCTCCGCCGGATTTCATGCACATACTATGTTCTAGTTCCCTCGAGTTTGGAGCATATGCCCTCATGTCCTATTCTCCTTCGGACGTGCATTTTTCTGTATAATAAGTATCATCCAGACCGCCCCTAGATGAGCGTTAAAGGAAGCATAATAGTTAGGTTAGGGCCTTTTTTTGAACCTAGTGTAGAGCCCTAGTCAACTTTTGACCTCATGTTCAAACCATGACCTCGTACTGCTTAGATCGGAAGTGTTCTAGACTACTTCTCCATCATTCTAAATCTTTCAATCTTTGGTGGTTGTAAAATGTTTTTTTCTTTTCTTTTTTTTTTTTTGCGGGGGGCGGGTGGGGGGATCGTTTGAAGTGTGACCATAAAAACCATGCTACGACTGACTAGAAACATTTTGGCATTCTGCCACCTTCTTGCGCTCAGCACCGGCAATGTTTTGGACACCCTACGGCTATGTTTCTACCAGTAGGACGCCATATTCTTGTCACACGTCTTTTGTTTCGAATGTTTTTTTAAACTATTCAGTTTTAAATATGTCTGCAGCAGCATCACAATGTCTCAATACTGTAACTGAATGCAAACAAAGTAAAAGATAGGTACCTGGGTACTAAACTGAATTCGCTCCATTCTAAGGTTCCCAGCTCAATGCTAGATTGTAACTTGTCACTCGAAAACTGAAAGAATGGTATTAGATCTTAATTTCTGTGGGATCTTTATATCATCTCCACAATTCATTTCGGGGTATGCGGATAAAAAATCTCATAAATGGTAGATTCTATTAAGAAAGTCAAACAACGTACCTTGGCATTTTGGCAAATGCTTAATTATTGGCATGAACTTTGGTTTCTAGGATGCATGATTGGAAGCTGTCCTGCTGCTGCCGTGCTTGTAAATGGCAATGAGATGTAATTTGCTCTTTTTTATCGTTCTTTGATGGAATCTTCACGTCATTTCTGCCTGCGATTCTTATTGTTCTATGATCTTTCGTTATTTTTATGATCTCATCAACAATGCAGGCTCCTTCAAAAAGAAAAACCCTTACTTTCAAACAAATTTATGCATACATACACTTTTGCTTGCACCTTGTTTGTCACTACAGAACTCTCCATTTCTGAAAGCATATACCACAATTCAATCCTATGTTCATTTCTGTTGGCAGGACACCGATTGGACTGGTTTGCTCCATTTAGTTAAGTTCTACAAGAACCGAAGATTTGATCGAGAAATTTGGCTCCCAATGTAAGCAGGAGTCCGAATCTTTCCTGAGAAAATATTCTTTTTCCGGTTGTTTGAACAAGTCAGGTAGTGCTCTTGTATTTCTTTCATTGGCAGGCCTAATGACTTCCACGACGTTCCAGAGTACTTTGTCCAAAAGGTATTGGTTCCCCACCACAAAACTCTCTGCAATTAATTAGCTCCTTGATATGATTCCTCCCCCGCAAGATTGGCCATGTGATTGTGCTCTTTCCGTTCTTTGTCAGTTCACAGTGATTTCATGCGTGATTCGTTATTTGAGCTGTGTTGGAATCGCATCCAACAAGGTCCAAATGCTAGTCAGTCATTTCATTCCATTCCATTGTTTGCACCAGGCCATCCCCCATGCGGTAGCATTGGCCAGAACAGCGGACGGGAAAAGTCCGAGGGATGCTGTGGAATTTATTCTGCAGCTTCTGAAGGTAAAGGGTCGGAATATCTTTTTACTAATCTTTATATTATTATCTCTCTCATGCGTCACAATATCTGGGCTTCATACAGCAGCATTCGGCCTTCCTTGCCTCAGAATCTCTCCAAGGTCATTTTGTCTCTATTTCTTAGGGGCAATATCATGCCTATTTTACGCAATAAACAGTGGCTACTATTCTATTTAAAAGCTATCTTCTACTACTTCTAGGGACCCTTCACTTGAATAATACCCTTCCATGCGATTCAATAGTTGTGACGAATTATCCTCAACTATGTTCTCATGTGAATGCATTCGTCTCTTCTCCTCAGTATAATGATAACAGTGGGAACCCTTACTCGGATGTTTACTGGCTAGCTTCATTGGTTCAGTCGACCAGTGAGCTTGATTTTGGGCAGCAGGTTCGTGTGGACTCCTGAACTTTGCTACTCTCTTCTCTGCCAGCGATCAATGTTTCCTAAGCTGCGATAATCTTCTCTCTGAGCTCATTACATCCGTGTGCCTTGATGTGTATGCTCCCCCTCTCTCCATGGGCAGAACATCGCGCTCTTGTCTCCTCTCCTCAAGCATATAGATCGACTCCTGCTGTTCGACAGGTGCGTTTGGAAAAATTTCTCTCGTATGTTGTTCACTTGATTTGACCTCTGCACTTGGCTTTTCTTCTCGGCAGTCTCATGCCCAGCCACAACAACATCTTGACCATCAGCTGCATCCGCGCCTTGACGCAGATCGCGCTCAAGATGTCGTCCTCTGTTTCTCCTGTGAGCTTCCCCTCCCCCCCCTCAGATCTGGCATAATCCGTCTGTCATCCCTCTCTAAAAGTGTATGTTGGTTCCAGGACCGGATATCCAGCCTCATGAGATCGTTCAGGAACAACCAGAAAGTGCACTGGAAGGTGAGGATGGAGTCAAGCAAGGCGCTCCTCACTCTCCAGTTCCACTGGAATGGCCTTGGCGAGGCTCTGTCACTGTTCCTGGAGTTTGTGGCCCAAGAGGCATCCCTGCGAGGTATCATCATGGTCACCCAACTCTCTCCCTATATGGCCCTTTATTTCCCTTTTGTTCTTACGGGCGATCTTCCTTTGATCGCAGGGCAGGTGAAGCTTGCTGCTCATGCAATGCGCTTGTGTGAGGTCAATCCAGAGCCAGATAGGCGGGAGACTGTGAGCGTCCCCACACTAGTGGCGCTTCTCCAGCTTCTCGAGAGCAGAAAGGCCTACAGTAACGTCTACCTTCGGCACCATTTATTCTGCATGCTGCAGCTTGTGGCTGGGAGGTGAGCGATTCTGACCTTGTTGACTACTTGTGATCCTTGTTTTTCTGTCTTCAGTCTGTTGTTGATTGGAGCATGATTGAGGATGGCTTTGTTGGGTTGGTTGCGATCCTCAGCAGATTCATGTGTTCGATCTTGATCTGTTTATTCTCATATGCCAGTCATAGCGGTACAACCCTGCTTTCTGTGTCACAACATCTAGAGGTTCCTTTCACACCTAAGATAGAACTGAGACTACATCCCAGGCCGCCCTTCTTGGGTGTGACTCGAACTTTGACGCGGAAATGGTGTGAGTCAAGTGATTCTCTCCGATTTTTCTGTTTATGGGGAGGGAACCGCGGCCATTGTTTTTCCTACCTTTTAGTTCTACTGCAAGATTCACCTAAAATGGAAAGAAAGTATATCATGAAGATGCAACCCTACCCAGCCACCTCTTCCCTCTCACCTCTGCCATGTACTGAAACTGGAGCACAAGGATTTCTTGTAAAGTGGGTGCATCTTTCTTATTTTCAGGCGGCCATCGCTTTATGGCGCCCCACGAGGCCGACCTCAGACTCTCCAGGAGCACTTGCTCGGCGGTGTGGAAGAGGAGGGTAAGCACAGGATGATCACCGCTTTCCTTAGCCTGAGGATGTCTAAACCGCAGGAAGCTCCCGTGGATAAAAGGGAGGCCCAGGGCACCCCTGTGGAGGACAAGCAACAGCCCCAGGAGCCGTCGCCTGAGAAGCAGAGACTCGAAGCTCATGTTCTCGAGACTAGGGCTTCCTCATCCGAAGCCCGGCCTCCTTCCCATGTGGCCAGAGATGTTACCATCTCTATTGGTAGTGAGAGAAAGTACCCAGTGGTGAAGATCAAGGTCAGGCAGCCGACGACTTCTCATAAGGCTAGCAGCACTGGTCAAGGGGTGGGCCACTCTCTTGGCGGCGGGCGGAATGAGGCGGAATTGGGCCCTGCCAGCTCTGTGTCTGTGGATGCACCAGGACGGGGATTGGCTGATGAGCCGGCGAGCACCAGCATTCAGAACCTTGAGGAAGTGAATTCCATTCACGACAGGGGTTCTCGGATGACGGCGAGCGTCGGCAGTGCGAGACTAGTTAGCAGTGATGAAGCTGCTAAGGAATTGCAGTGCACTGCTATCTCAAGGATAAGCATGATGCCCGAACCTCGGTTGTCCCCAGAGACTAATCCAGAAGATGCCGAGGCTCGGGCTGTAGAAGGCGGCAGTTCTCGAGTTGGCTATGGTGAGAGGCAAGGGCTTAGGGAATTGGCGGCAGAGAGCGAGGAGAAAGATAAGAAGAAGAAGAAGGAGAAGAAGGATGAAAGGAAACGAAAAGGGGAAGTTGGAACGGACGAGAAAGGCCGGCGTGATGACCCGGAATATCTGGAAAAGAAGCGCCTGAAGAAGGAGAAGAAGCGGAGGGAGAAGGAGCTGGCGAAGGCTGGGGCCAAAGAAGGGCGGCCGCCTGTCGAAGTAGAGAGCAGCCTGGGGAAAATTACAAGGTCGGAGGAACAATTATTATCCTCAGCAGATGTGAGGAACTTGGAAGGGACAGTTCAGCCCAAGCCGAGTGAACCTAAGAGTATGCAGGCCAGCATAGGAACGAAGGTTAGGATCAAGCTCAAGAGGCCCAGTGGCAGCGGCTTGTAGCTTGTGTTCGAGTGGTGGGAGCGATGGATGGCATTAAAGCGACCATCGGCCGCATTTTTTCTGTTCCCAATGCATGTTCGAAGGTCTAGCTATCAGATGAATTAACTGAGCAGGGTGGCAGCTTATACAAGGTCTTGTAGGTGGTAGAGAAGTGAGATTCAGCGGTGGGCTGTAAGGGATAGCTTTTGTAATTAAGTGGCTTCAAATGGATGGGCGCTCTTTGAAGGGAGTAATCCCAATTAAGCTCTCTCCACCCTCCCCGCTTCCCCCTTCTCAATCAAGTGTGAATCTCTTTTGTTTCGTCAAGTGAGGCAGCAGTGCTGTAAAGAAAAAAAGAGAAAAAAATCCCTAATGTGCACACTTACAGTGCCCCAGTGCGTCGTGCATATCTTCGATGGTAGATGGTTCGATGCTCAACATTCTGGCTGCAATCCTCAGCAGTTAGGCCAACGCTCCGGGCCTGTAGGAGAGATCGGTCGGTCTCAATGGCAGCAAGAGCACCGAAACCAAGCTAGGTACGTCTACGAAAGAAGGGAGGGAAATGGAAAGGAGGAAGAATCACCGGAAAGATGGCGTGGGTCAATCAAGCAGTAAAGCAACACGGCGTACGAGGTCTTCTTTCTTCCCGCCAACCTTTGCTTTCTTCACAGTGAGGAAGGACTTGAGTTCTGTTACGGTGAGGGACCAAAGCTGCCCCCTCGCATGGCAATCTAGCACCTGACCGGATTCCAACGAGTATCAGATACGCCGTCGGTGAAGCAACCCAAGCCACCACAAGTTCTTCAAGACCAAATCTACCTTTGAAGATATGTCGCATTGATCAGACAGCACTCTCGGCTTTCTCTTAGCGACGGCCTCCTTTGTGTTGGCTTTGCTGTGAATATTCGACGAGATCAGTCGTGAGTTCGACTTGAGAGAGACATATATACAACCTTGTTTAAACTATCTATCATTCACAGTGGAATTGAATTGTCCTTTTCGTCATGCGCCTCTTTCTAAGTTCCTCTTTAATTTGAACCATTGTAACTCTGTTTGCTTGTTTCGGACACAATGTTGTCGTTGAACTTTTTCTATCCACCCCGTAGACATCTCTCTCTGCCTCCCACTGCCCCCATATGCTTCCATGCATCCAGGGGATCATTATCTTGAAACTGGTACAGCACTACTCGATAAAAATTTATATCATTGAAATAAAGGTGCAAAGAACCATTGGTGTTGAAATCTGCCTAAAGACTGTTGATGGGGGATTGCAACTTAAAGGCAAAATTAAGTGTTTTCAGATTCCGAATCTAATCCATTTTTAGTCAAAACATATATAACTAAAGACGAGACATATTCGGTAAACAAATAATAGACCATAAGTGTAAACTTATCTTCTCTCTTTTGGTCGCAGATCTCTTCCCAAGAAGGACAGACGTCGTAGCTGTGTACACGGGACAAAATGAGGATTTTAGCGGCAATGGTGTCAAAGGACACAATTCCGTACATAGGTTGACCTTGCTTGGTGTTTTCCGAATAGCTCTTCTCAGGAATGGCTCCAGAGTTTTCCTTCTTCTGTGATTTTCCTGATATCTGAGAAGACAGTCATCGGGCCATTAGTTAGTTCGAGGGGGACTTCAACCTCCAAAGTGAAGCGCACACTGAATCAAAAGTTTAGAGTCTTACCTTTGGTGGCATGCTCTTGATTCTTCCTGTTACCTTTCCTGACTGTGTAGTGACCTTCAACAGACGCGGGAGGGGTGTTCGTTAAGCCAAAGTTGGTTTATTAAATTCTAATGCTTAGCACTGGGAACCAGCCATCTTACCGTCTGAGAATCAAATTCGTCCGATTCAGCAGTAATGCCATTGCGCAGGATTAGCTGATAAAATTGGACGATGAGCAGCAGTTAATAAATGTTACAAACAGAGAGAATGGGGAGAGCTAGGAAACATAACTCTCCTGCGGCATTGCTATGTATATGAGTGCAAGTACCAGAGACCAGAAAAACGCAAAAAGGAAAGAAAAGTAGAACATAGGGAAAAGCTCTATCTCCAGTTGATTTTCGTTACCGTAGTAGATTCATTAACGGAAGAAATTAACATAATTAACAAAGGAGGTCATAATAAGCTCGTAATCGCAAATCTGTCAGTAATGTACGCAACTAATGTATATTCTCATCTGAATAGATTGGGAAATGATTATTATGCATCAGAAAAATAGACTGTGCTAATAAATTTAACTTACATCATTTGTTCCTGCATCAGCAGGAGAATCTTCCTCTTCAGCGTAGGTACCTTCCGAAATTTTTTAACTAGGGTAGTAAGTATTCTCTCGGGCCTCAGGATATTTCCTAATGTACCGTTCTTCCGGGTTACCTGTAGTTTTCTCTGGGAAGCCTGAATGTGTAGAACTCTGATCAACCCTTTTTTCTGCATCCATAGTAAAATTTAAAGAGCCTAGTAAGAAGGTATATCTCAAGCTACATGACATACCTGAATCCTGATCTTCTTCCAAGGTACGTGCACTTTCTCCTGGGAAACCTGAGAGTTGATAGCTCTGATCAACTTTCTCAGCTGCAAGGTTAATACATTGCAAGTGTTCAGTTACAATTACTAGTTCTACTACGTTCACTAATTCCACAGACACGTCATTCAAAGAGAGTTCCTTTGGGGGGGACCAACGTGATAATTATCAATTATTGTCGATTGATCATACAAACAAAATTACTCACCAAACCTTTTCGATGATGAAATGCCATCACCTGGGATCAAAGAGTGTAGCAATTAAGGTTTTTTTTATTTTAGTGGCAATGCCTAGAAGTACTTTAGAGATTTTCAATATCACCTAAAAGAGTTATTTCCTTAGAAGTTGTTCTCGGTTGAAAATGCGGCTTTACTTTATCAGCGGAGACAAAAGGCGTGACTTCAGCATGACCAGTTGCATCTTTCTGGAATCTCTTGCTAGAAACTTTACCGGTCTCTTCAAATGCTGTAACCGCCAACGTCCTACTTGGTTCAATCCGATAAGTAGGTTTTGGAGTTCTAAAATCTAGAAGCCCATATCAGAGTAAGTGCCAGGAAAATAAAAGCGTGTGCCAGAGCATATAAATTGCTATTCTAGTGAATAATACCGTTAACTGAAAATAGATCTGTGAGAACAGACATATCATTGCTCGTAAGTTTTTTACTAGAAGGATCGGTGGTATCTGTAGAAACGCAGGTATTAACAGCATTTGCAGCTTTTGTCCATGTGAAAGGCTCTGAATCAATATCAAATGAAGACATAACCTGAGACGTCAGAAGAAATGGTCACTGAACATGTGAAATCACCACCTCATTCGATCATAACACAGCTTTCAATATGAACCGTATATAAACGTCACTTTTCTTGTTGGATTAGAACCTGAATCATGCATGGTAACCAACTAACTCTTTTAAGTAAGTAAACTAAGAATTTTTACGCTAGTGGTTAATTTGATCAGACAAAATAATAGAGTACCTAATATAAAATAATTAGGCTGAATAATCCGAGGAAAACTATCCAAGCAGGCATAAAGGGCAGAAGTATTCCTAAACATTGAAATCCCGTGGTGATTTTAGTATCGTCGCAGAAAGCACAAATAAGATGTTAATCTGGTTGAACTTCAATCATGTCATAGTGACAAACAAGGCCACAGAACTAAATATAATAAGAAATAAGATCTTTATCCTGTAAATAGACCTTAATTTATAGTTACACCATTATCTGTGCAGGTCAGAAGGTGTAATCTAATTGTGGTATCGCTTTCTAAGAAAGTTTCAAGTTTTCTCTTCTCGATAGTTTCATTTCCCAAGATAATTTTAAAAAATTAGCTGGCATGCTCATCAGAAAGAATGTGACACATTAAAATATAATGTAGAAGGAAAAAATTTAATCTCAGTTTTTCTATTTTGGTTAGTCAAGGGTGCTCTCTGAATAGTCGAATAGCAGTCATGGTCGTCTGCAAGTTGCTGCGAGTCATGACGTCCACAGTCATAAAAAGACACCAATATAAATACATAAGAGCAAGTACCTTAACCTTTAGTAACCCCTGACCGAAGAAATTCCAACCTGTAATCGCGTCGAAAAACCATGGCACCACACTTAAGGATAATTGAACGTCCAAGAAAAATTAGAACTCAAAACGGAAGTAATTCGGATGATAAAAATTATTCTTTGAGGGTTGATGTAGCTAGGAGGCCGAATAAATATAAAAATCTTAAAGTGATGTAGTTTTAGAACATATCAAATCAGCACATGAGATCTAAGAACACAATTAAGTAAAGTGAGAAAAAGTTAATAATAGTCAAATATTAGAGTTGATCAATTTAAACCCCCTTCTTAATCTAAGTGCAGCCTAAACCCCAACACAAATTTCTTAGAATTTCTTCCTAAAATTTTATTCTAGATTCATGGTTTCTAGGATTTATTTGAAGAGTAAATAAATACGCTACTACGTGAACTTTACACAAACTTTAAAGAACATCAATTATTGAGTTTTCGTGATGCCCTATAGCAACATATGATAATCTATTGACGTAAATTTTTTCTATAAGACCACGACTTGCAGTCTATGCCCTCTTCCTATCCCAAAGAAGAATACAACTTTAGGGTGACAAGATAAAATTTGACTTTGCCTTCTGAAAAAAGTTCCCAAAGGAAAAGAGTAAATCTCACCTTCAATAATTTTCGTGAAAGAATTAAGTGCAGAGACAGCCTTCATAAATCTAGCTGTTAGTGGGGCTGAAGACAAACCTGATCCATGCAGAACAAAGGCAGATGGCAGCCTGCTTAAAAAATTGGAAAATCTATATGTCAGAGTATATGATATTTTAGAAATGGAAGTACAAGTTTTTCGTCATAAACAGGTGGTCTGGAAGAAGACCATTTTTCGCTTGCACAACCTCCACAAGTGAATCGGATCTTGAAGAAGTAATCATTTAGCATTGCTAGACCATGCTACGAAATGCACTTCAGTTAGAATTTTTTTTTGACTTGTATGTTGAAGATTTCATCGCATTTATCGAAATCAAGACAGTTTCTACACCTTAAAGAACCAAAGTTCTTCAAGTTGCGTAATATTCTCCATCAAAGGATGTACCTTCTGAACTCCTGTCACATAAAATAACAGTAGATGTGTATAATATTTAATTTCAAGGAAGCTAAATGTTACTGGAAAGAAAAAATGGTTGAATTACCCATCAAATAGCCTTCGGAGAGAGTTGGAAGAACATAGCAACGCTTCACTGACTTGGGGTCCCCCAAAGTTACTTCATCGCCGTTGTAGAAAAGTTTTTCTGCCTTTGAATTAAGATCTGAAATCTGGTATAAATCACATATTAGAGTTATTAAGATAACCTATGGACTGATAGCCTTGAGAGAAGGTGGATGAAAGAACCTTGTATCTACGGAAAAGGACAGCATCAGGTGAAACAAGAAAGGTGAATTGATCATCCACCTCCAACTGAACTCTCTGGAATGAAACAATAGAATAAAAATAAAATATTGAAGAAGGTCACAATGGAATAAACGATTTATTATACGATCAATCTGCATTTCGTTTGATTGAGAATTTTGGCATGATTTATAGATGTAGCTCTCGGGCCCAATCTTATGATCTGTACGTGATCCATTACAAATCAGGAGCAATCTGGGCAAGACGATGTCATTGAAATTTTACTAGAAAATAATGATCAAGGCTACTCAGTATCAAGCTCATCAATACATTTAATAGTAATGGTCTTTCAGGGGGCTACTTAACTGTGTTTTTATCCTACACGTAACAAAGTTGCCAAACTCATGAAAAAGGTACAATGTTTTCAAAATATTCTGAAGCTCATGGTGCTGATCAAGAGTTAAAGGGGAAAATAAACCATAAACTTATTTCATGTCCCTGTTTCTTGTCAATAACAGGTCTCTTCGGATTGTTCCAGTCATTTCTGACAACATCAGTTACTACTGGCACGACGTGATTTGTTCCATGAATTTTCCTGCGAAAATCCAACGGATGCAGTAATGAAAGAGGAATTGGGAGAAAGAAGTGACTGATGAGATTGCGCCCTTACTATGTCAACTACAACGACTAGACTAAAAATCCCTTATTCACGCGTTGTTATGCATATGCATGCCAGCATGCATGGAAATGCATTAACACACAAGCACACATGCCCCTTTATTCATGTTCAGACGTTTTCAACTCGGAATAATGAATGCACTACCATGAATATTGGCGCCTATCTTGGCATCCACATGCCCACGTAGACAGGTACATACATATCCAAAAACCTAGTTCTATATCCCTCTCAGAACACAGACGGGCATGGATATGCATAGCTGAATCAAACAAGCACATAAAGTAGATAAATGGATAGATACATAGATATATAGAAAGATAAATCGATAGATAGATACATGGATATATATATATGCATAGATAGACAGACAGACAGATAAATTGGTAGATAGATAGGTAGTTATACACATAGACAGATAGAGAGACATATAGATAGATTAGATAGAGAGAGAGAGAGAGAAAGAGAGAGAGAGAGTTCCTGGCTCAATATCAGCAGCTGGTTCATAATCTCATATGCCGCAAAAACTTTCTATTAGCTAAGGAGACAGAAGGGCCCCTCATTCCTTTCGTTCCAGGTGCAAGAAATGTAAAGCTAATCCTTTACTGCAGACGAGAATCAGGAGTTGTACGTCTCACAGAAACACAATAAAAGCTATCAGACCAGTAGACCCACTAAGGAAACTATTTTTCCTCCTCATTCCAGATCCAGACATTTCTAAAACTTTATCGACAGTAATTTTCTAGAACAGGTCATAATGATGGTATGCTTATCCTTTATTCATAGCCAATATTACTATCCAAGAATATCTCCCTGATGAAATGATTTTTTAGATTATTACTCTTCAACATAACCTAGGCTGGAGGATCGTCAGAATTTTCATGTACATGACTCTCTATACGCTTCTCGTCCCATCTCACTTTAATTTTCTTGTGAATAGGTCAATATGGAAAAATTATATATGGATCATGGAACACAGGATAAAGGACTGGTGATCTGTGTGAACATTATTCTACAAGGAACACAGAGTGGAAAAGGAGAAAATCACGCGCTACTCTGTGGCAATGAAAAACATTTAAAATTATTTCCAAGAAGAGAACGACACTAATTGAATTGGTGTAAATAAATATTAGTAAATAAAGACATGGCCATCACGTCACGGAAAAACATGAAGGAAGATATATGAAATTACCACAACAAGGGCACATAGGTGATTCCCCTCATCCTCACGAGCAAAACCTGAGTGAACGAACAAGTTGTTTCCCAAGCAACTCCAATCGCTATCCAGAAACACGCACTTAAGAGCACACTCCAGGGCTTGTACAAGCAATGAGCTCGATGTCACTTCTTCCTCGAGTCCGACCTTTCCTCAGCCACAGCCAAATCTCCACAATTAGCTTACTTTCCACTTCCTAGTTAGCGTGCTATGCAGGAAGGGGGGAAACGACGAAAGAAAAAAATAATCTATGAATCGCCCTTTACGGTCCTCTCCACGCTCCTTTGACGTTTCAAAGGATACAAGACCATCCAGCCGAAAATGCACGTAAATATGTCCAAGTTCAAATGAAAATTGTCGTCGAGATTCCTCACATCACCAATTGGAAGTTGTCTGCAGATTTCCTTTATGACTTGATCTATAGATTCCGACTGAGATCTCTGAAAATAGAAGCAGCCGCAAATGAAACATATATATATATATATATATATATATGCATGCTTGGATACGAAAAACAAAATGAAGTCAAGATCACACAAACCTTGTAGACAACAACGATGTCGAGAGAGTCAGGAAAACACAAGCAAACGACGTGCCACGCGCGGGAGAGCTTCCAGCACAGTGACTCCACCTTGACGGAGAGCGATGCGCCGGCGGAGAGATGGGGATCAGAGAGGGGTGAGCGCGACGAGGAAGGTGGCGGATCAATCCGCAGCTGGACATGGAAGAAGGGAGAAGCAGCAAAGCAGGTAGGAGGATCAACTCGCACCAGTATCTTCTTCCTGAACATCCTCTCCATCTGTATCCCCTTCCTCCTCTCAACCGCCTCGATCTTCCCTTCCCTTTCAGTTTGCAGCCTACATATACCCGCTCCGTCGTCGTGGGCCTCTTTTTGGCGCGAAATAATTTAAACAATTTTTCTCCTTAACAGTATTTTAATTATGCACAAAACCTATTCTCATTCACAAATTAAACCGCTGGCTGAGAAGATCACTCATAATTTATGTATACGTATGAGAATTCTTCGTAAAATCCATAAAACTTCTACATCTCTCACATTATCCCGTCTTTTGTGTTATTGTAGGAAAATACAGACAGAAATCGAGAAATCTTATTTTATGACCCGGAATCTGGGCATATTTGTAATAATTAACTTTTGGAACAGTATCTCCCAAAACTTGGCACATTTTATTTTTAGATTCACTTTTCGGCATAAAAATATAAATTCTATTACTTCACCTTTAATAAATAAATAAAATAACAAAAATGTTGCACTCTTTCATGCAGCATCTTACTTTGCCGGTAGAATCTTTGTTGAATAGAGAGAGAGAGAGAGAGTGGAGGAAGGCCCATCGGAGTGCGCGCGGCATGTTTGCGTATATGCCGAAGAGAGAAAGGACAGCGGAATGATATTTAACTGCCGTCGGCGGCCCCGGCTGCCCTCTTCCGCCCCCGCACGGATAGCAGAGCCTGCGGGTTTCCCTGCACATGCCATGGCCCCCACCCGCTGGGGTACCGCGCATGATGATTCTGATGGGAATTTAAAAGCCCTCCTGCACCAGGCCCTGCGTTCAACCCCGTGATCTCTCCCTCAGCCACCCACTGTCTCTCGCCGCCGCCATGGTCACTGCTACTCTCCTCTGTCATCGCCATTTTCTCTGCATTTACAGCTTCTTCGCCGTTGCAGTGTTGTTCCCTTGGCGCACAGTCGCCGGGGACAGCCTCAAGCTCCGCCTCCTGCACCCGTCCCCTCCGCCCACGCCTCAGCAGGCCCTATTGCTGGATTCGCAGCGGCTGTCCGTCCTCTTTTCCTCCCTCAGCTCGGCCTCCTCCGCCGCCGGGAAGCGGCCGGAGCCCCCCATCGCCATCGCGGCGCCCGTCGTCTCCGGCGCGTCCACCGGCGCCGGCCAGTACTTCGTCGACTTCCGGGTCGGCACCCCTCAGCAGCAGCTCCTCCTCGTGGCCGACACCGGCAGCGACCTCGTCTGGGTCCGGTGCTCCGCCTGCCGGGACTGCTCTCGCCACCCCAAGGGCACCGCCTTCCACGCCCGTCGCTCCTCCTCCTTCGCCCCTTTACACTGCTACGACCGCCAGTGCCGCCTAGTGCCGCATCCCCACCCGGAACAGTCCTGCCCCCGCGGCCGCCTCCACAGCCCCTGCCGGTACCGCTACTCATACGCCGATCACTCCACCTCCGCCGGCTTCTTCTCCAGGGAGACGGCCACCCTCAACGCCAGCTCCGGCCAGGAGATCCGCATCCAGCAGCTTTCCTTCGGCTGCGCCTTCAATGTCTCCGGCACCAGCGTGGCCGGCCCGGCCGCCGGCGGGGCTCACGGCGTCATGGGCCTCGGACGCGGCCCCATCTCCTTCCCTTCCCAGGTCGGCCGTCGCTACGGCAACACCTTCTCCTACTGCCTCATGGACTACACCATATCGCCGGCACCCACTAGCTACCTCCTCATCGGCGACAACAGGGAGAACGAAACCAGTGTCGGAGAGGGGAAAGGCGGCAGGCCGTCTCCGCCTCCTCCGCTGCGGTACACGCCATTGCAGACCAACCCGCTCTCCCCGACGTTCTACTACGTCGGCGTCGAGGGGGCCTCCGTCGACGGCGTGGACCTCCCGATCGGCGCCGCCGTCTGGGCCATGGACTCCTCCACCGGCGCCGGGGGCACCGTCATCGACTCCGGCACCACCCTCACCTTCCTCCCAGAGCCCGCCTACCGCCAGATCCTGGCCGCCATGGAGCGGCGTGTGAGACTGCCGCGCGTGTCCGTGGGCGGCGTCGGCAGGGGCTCGAGCGGCCCCGCGTTCGATCTCTGCGTGAACGACACGTCTGCGGGGAACGAGCCCTCGCGCCGCCTGCCTCGCCTGGGGCTGAGGTTAGCGGGCGGCGCCCTGCTATCGCCGCCGCCGAGGAACTACTTCATCGACACGGAGCCCGGCGTGCGTTGCCTGGCGCTGCAGCCGGTGTCCTCCCCCGATGGCTTTGCCGTTATCGGCAACTTGATGCAGCAGGGCTTCCTCTTCGTCTTCGACCGTGACCGCTCCCGGCTGGGCTTCTCCCGCAGCGGCTGCGCCGCCTGAACGCCTCCTCCCCGGCGACCGCCATCACCACCCTAACATCTTTGCCGTACGTTTAGTGTAATTAAATTTCCGATCTTTCCTCCCGGTGAAATCTTCCGAGCTTCCGCACCTGCGCGGTTTTTATCCTCCCCCCGCCCCCCCCTCATTGGATTCTTCCTCTTCCTCTGCGCCGCCTCTCCCGACATGGTGGCCCCCCCAGGTCACGGGCCGCCGTTGTCCCCTGGCTGGGAGGGGGAAACATTCTGACGAGGGTCCGGCGGCGATCCAGTAGCCGGCGACGGCTGTTGCCGCTTCTGTCGTCTTGCTCTGCCCTGCGGGAGCTCGAGAGGGCCTTCCCCACCAGGAAGATCCCCCCGCCGGGTAAACATCTTCGATAAAATGCCGCTCAGACTCATCATTCATTTCTCTCTGCAACGCTCGGTCGCCGCCTCCGCCAGGAGACGTCACGTGGAACGAGGTTCAGGGGCTCGCTCACACACGACATTTGCGTCGGTATAAGCGATGTAAGACCAAAGTCGAAGATGAGAGAATCATACTATAATACATATATGGGTATTAACCACGTCATCACATCACGACATTGATGGCATCAACGGGTAGCTGGTTGGCGAGATCCGGCTTGGCCTCGCTTCGAATGAAAATTTACTCTTTGTACGTAAATTTGACCCTTTCATGCGGGGGCGCCAACGGTCCTGATCATTGGGCCAGTTATGTACACTTTTAAGTCTTCTATACATCTGAATACAGAGGGAGAGAGAGAGAGAGAGAGAGAGGTGTCAACTAATGGGCCATAGTTTAAAAGGCCCCATACTAGGTTGTAGGATGGGGTTTAGAGGTTTTGGAAATGGGGTCCCAATAACTTTTGGTACCAGCCCAGTTGAGAGCCGGGCTGGTCCTTCCAAACAGTCAGGGAAATAAAATCCTTCACCTTACGAAGTCAATGCTAGAAAAAATAAGTGGGCAAACTCTCGTAGAGCGAAATGGATTATATATTAGGCCAAGAGCAGGGATATGCTTTCTCTTTGAGTATTTTGTTAACCGGCGGCCCTGAGATTTTTTTTCTCCATTTACCGGGTAAAATTTCACACCTGCTCGAGATCCAACCAGAAGAGGGGCCAGTCTGGGCTCTCATAAATGTGAACTGTTGTGTCGGTATTAATTCTCCTGTTTATTGCGATGAGTATTGGCAGAGAGGGAGGGAGAGGGAGAGAGACAGAGATATGGACAGAGAGTGAGGGGGCAAGATAGAGAGAGAGAGAGAGAGAAAGACAGGAAGAAAGCTGGGCACGGAGAACGACCGACGGGCATTGGTACAGTTAGAGAGAAAGAGAGTGGGATACAGGGATAGACAGACAGACAGACAGAGAGTGAGGGAGAGAGAGAGAGAGAGAGAGAGAGAGAGAGAGAGAGAGAGAGAGAGAGAGGGAGATAGAGATGGAGAGAGTGGGAGATAGAGATGGAGAGAGTGGGAGATAGAGATGGAAAGAGTGGGAGATAGAGATGGAGAAGAGAGAGAGAGAGAGAGAGAGATAGTGCATGTGCACGTGGGGAAAGTAGGCCTCACATCCAGAGGTAAATATCTTGGAGAGTTGAAAAGCAACACAATGGGACTGTGGTGAGGAGCGGGGGATGTCGGCTCTTTCCCATGTCCCGGCAACCGTCCTTACACCCATGGGCGTCTCCCACTTCACAGTGGTCGCCCGCTCGAAAATAACACACAATAGACTCCAGTGCTGCCTAAATTTCTGTTATTTTTCATTGCTAGTATTTCTACGGTCTCCTCTCTACGGAGCAAGATATTCACCCTCGTCCATCTGTTTTTCTTTACAGCCTTTCACCCTCTCTCTCTCTCTCTCTACACTCTCAATATACATATATATTTATCCATATATTTATATAGATGCCCATTTGCTATTCCATCACGATAGTCTTTGACAAACACAACCACGATCTCCCCTACCATGCATCATCTTCCCTTATTTATTTGTTGGCTCTCCCATCGTCTCCTTTATAGGGTGGAAACTCTACACCAAGGGCATCCTAGCATTGATTCCTTGCTAATCTAGCGGAGCTAAACTCCCATGAACAATCTCTACCAAAACAACAAAATTATTCCTAATCTGTGATAACTCTTACATAGCAGAAATTTTGCATTTGATAATGTAGAGTTTTTCATTTTTTCACATAAATTTTTTGCACATACATTCTCTCAGCTTTATGATGTTTACAATCAGCTTCTCATACTATGTCTATCTGTCATTAGAAAATCAAAAATATTAGGGTGGGGAAATTTCAGTATAAGTGGAAAGGAATTCTAATACTTTCATTAATAAGTCATTCCTCCCAAAAGTTCTAATATGGGGATAGAGATGAAACATCCAATCCAATCTATTTGCTATATGAAGAAATTTTCTCTCTATCATCAATAATTTAAATGAAAAGTTATTTATTTAACAAGCAAGCTACTTCTTTGAGTACTTCTCAAAATTGAGAAGTAAAATAAGTTACTCATAATTGGCTACTAACTACTATTACTCCTCCTTAAAACATGCAATATGTTCATACAAAGCCTCAATGATTGTCTAAGTGATATTTTCATATATCTTTACTGCACATGATCTAATTCCTCTACTTGTAGTATCTATTCATTGAGCACTATATGTTATATGATTTTATCTCTGAGTAGATCTCCTATACTTCTACAAGATCATTCTCCTCATAATTGCTACTACTAATTGTGGTTGAACCCATCACCTCATATTGGCCTAAAATAGTTGTACTCCATCAAAATCACTTGGTATATTGCTGTTGTAAAATAATTTGTTGACGCAATTTATTTAGTTTAATCATCACCATCCAACTAAATTTCCTTATTCAACATTTATTCTATTGATATCAATGTGATTGTAACACTAGAAAGACATTACTCTTTGCACCATACTAGCAACCCATCATTTGCCCCTTCTAAAGCCTTTTGCCCTTGTCATTTTCTTATACTACTTGAATTGTAACCACATGCATCAATCTCCTGTTAAAGGATATTGTCATTTTAGGTTTGAAAAAGTGATCAGCCCTCTTAAATTTTCGATATTCAATATTGATTTCGGATAATAGTCCACCTTCCATTAATTCATGTGATTATTATCTTATGATTGGTAGTTTGAGTGCAAGTTGCTTGATTATATTCAATCTTATTGGTCTTTTAAAATCATAATCTTAATTATATTTTCAGATATTTAATTGGTATTTTTTCTCAGTTTTTATCCCTCTCTAATAGTAGAAACCATAATAGAATCCACAAGGAAAACCAACTATACATGAGGAGAGGTTTGCTTTGATATCTTAGAGCACTTGGGAGTCAACTCTACTTATGGATCACAACACTTTAAGACCTTCCATTCATTTTTCACTCTTAAATATCAGTTTGATGATTTTACTAACAATAAAATGAACTTCAACTACTTGTACATCAACTTACAATGTCAAGCAATTCTCATATGAAACTTGCACTTCATAGGTTCATTAGTTTTACTCGATTTAATCATAGCTTCTCTATGCTTCAACTAGATGTTGGCAATATTTTCTTGTATATTAATATTATCAAAGAAACTATCCAAGGAAACCTTTCAGTTGAGTTTATAAATATTTAAATATTATTTATTTATTTATTGGTATTTTTGGTTAAATTATATATTTCATTAGTCTTAGGTCTAGTTAAGCTAACTACTCTTTGTTAATTGGGCATAGGTCCTCAAATTTGATAGCATCTAATATACATGTTTATGATGTTTTTTACGCATAGATATATAATGAAAACTATGTCGTAAGCAAACAAATACCTAGAGGGTCACTTTGTTGCTATCTTACTATTGATATCACCCATAATGCAAATTGTGTCTCAAAAAAACATATGATAAATATGCAATCACTTGCCAAAAAAAGAAACCAAAATTCTCACCATTATTAAGTGTAGAGATCAATAAGAAAGGTATAACTTGTATTGCATTCTATAGGTAGCTTGAATTCTCACCAAAATGTCCTGCTCCCCCTCTTCAAGCTAGATAGGTAGCTTGAATTTTCAATAGAATACTTTAGGGTTCATATATAGATTTTTTCATGTGATGTGATAATTAACATTCCATCTATTCTATCCTAATCTGTGCTTTACATACAACTCATTATATTAAATTTTGTTGTCACTTCTAAACTATCACCATATTTATAAGCTTGCAAGTCCTTTTAATTTAAAAATATTGACTTATAGAGTTATTCACAAGGTCTTGGCTCTAGTCATTTTTTTATTTTTGGTAACAAGTTAGGCTAATTTCATAATTTTATGTATCAAGTTAGGAGTTTTAAAATATAACTATTAAATTTTGTATGCAACAACATAGTTATTATGTTCCTTGGATACAAGATAATATGCACTTAATACATAAGGAGTCATGTTCATTCTCAAAAGTATTAAATAAATTTTTCCTCCTATTTATACTGACATATGGTTAAAAGAAGTTGTAAGTTTTGATCAATGACTCACAAACTTAATAAATTAATTGACATAATTTTTTTACATTAGCTTAGTAATGTGGCCTTGTGTTCTCTTCTCAAAATCCTAAAATTGAAAGATGGAATGAATAAAAAATAATTAACATATCATTTTTATGTCATTATGCATTGTTAATCAAGGGAATTTTTCATTTAGTAGATTATTCTTTAATAGTATCATAACTAGCAAAAAATTGGTATGCTGAAAACTTTAATGAACATCATATCACATAATAAGAATATATATCTATATTCTAATGCCTTAATGAAAAAGCTCATTATGATAGCATGGTGTTTTTGTACAAGTTGCATGAAACTTTTTATCTTTCAGTATTTTATTTCATACAAGGAATTTGTGTATACATCACATAGTTTACAATGTTGATATTGGAGTGAAATTTTCACGTGTCCTAATGGGAATATCTTGGGTAGCTTCCTTTTTAATCTAAGGTTGTAGTACACTTTCACTTAAAGCAAAAACTAAGAATTGACTCAAACTCTATTTATTACAAGAAAATAAGATCTTTAAGCATATTATATGCATTTTGATGACCCAAAACTCAATCTACATCTAAATTAAGAAAAAGATTGATTGGTAAGAACAAAACCTTTTGTGACTTTGTGTATATGATGTTTAGATTTGACGTATGATCGTATCAATATATCTAATTTTCATAGTTTTATTTTCTCTTCCCGAGTGAATGAGGTTATAGGCAACTTTTAACCACTTCTTTATAATAATTATACATATGCTTTCCAAAAGTTGGCAAATGTTAGAATGCTTATAATGTCTTGTGATATGCACGATATTCAGAATGAGCGGACCCTACACTAGATATTCCAATGTCTAGCGATAGAATACCTGAACTACGGGCTGATCCCGGCGTATCTTGTGAGGCATCTGATATCACTAATGGTTGAATACCGTTTGTCTGGTATCGCATAATCCTCTCATAGACTTGTGTGCCATGCGTGTCCAAAATAACCGTTGTGAGGTACCATATCATACGAGCTAGTGAGATTTTCCCATTTTCTGTCGGTTCATACATGCGAGTATAGATAGACTATGAATTGTGATCCCCCCAAAGCGAAGCGACGACAGATTCCAAGATGTTTCCCTCTTGAAAGATCATACTAATCTAAGCTTATATATATTCTTTAATCTGTGCAAGCATGTCACAGAGCAGTGAACTAAGAGGGCGGAGAAGTGGAGTCCGTGGTTTCTCCGGTGGCCGCTGCCTAGCTGTGACATTCTGCGATCAATCTTGGAGACAGATTCCCTGTCAGAAACCCTCCCATCTATGTATATATACTATGTATCAGCTCTGACCATTTCTTCGCAAGTCAACGGTCAGGGGTGTAGGCGGAGACAACCTGCGGCGTGAAGAGAATGGAACCCACCAGGGATATTGGAGGGTAACCAGCTTACGAAGTCCTCCCAGAAAGGAAGCCGCTGCCCCTGGCCTTTGACTTCAAGTTCTCTATCTCCCTCTTCGAAGAGGCCGTGGGAATTGGAGCAAACCCGGAGGTTAAGTGGCCCACCATCACCCCTGATACGTTCGGAACGAGTGGGAGGAGTTGGTGAGAGTTGTACGCGCGGGCCTAATGGAGGAAAAGGCGGAGGATGGGGAATGGAGTTTGGATAAGTTTCGGCTAGAGAAAGAGGCATGCAGAAATGGAGAGTCGAGGTTACAGATGGTTGTGGCTTTCCACTTGATGGAAGGACGACTCCTGCCGTTCTTTTTGAACTGCGCAAGGTGGGGCCGATTCCTTTGTGGCAGTGGGCTATTGGCCAAGGGAGCAGAAAAAGTAAAATGGATAGATGAGTAGAGATATAAAGACGAGAATAGAGCTATGTGGTTATGGGCAGAGATATTTGTGTGTGAGAGAGAAAGAGAGACAGGAGGGAGATGAATAGAGAGAGAGACATGTAAAGGTGGTGAGAGATGAGTACAGACATCCTTGAGTACTGTGCGAGAGTAGAGAAAAACATATGGGTACATAGGGATCCTTGAGTTGAGAGAAACACATGGATACGTAGAGATCCTTGAGTAGAGAGAGAGAGAGGGACTCGTGAATGTGGTGCAGAGATGAGGACTGTTGGTGTACGAACCAAACAGGTTCTTTCACTACAGATCTTAATATTATACCAGAGGAGAATGACGTCGAAACTCATTTTAAGGAGCCCTAACAAGTCTATCGATTTTTTTTAATCACAACGTATTATTTTTCTAAAGCGGCGTGCTCTCTCCCTCCATCTCTCTCTCTCTCTCTCTCTCACTCACACACACACACACACGCACACTCTCACTCTCTGTGTTTCCCTCCCTCAGCTTGTCGGATGGTCAGGGAAAAAGACACTTCTGCTCCTATGTCTATAATGGAATAAAAGATCTACGAAAACCTGTCGTAAACCTCAACCAGAAGAGGAAAGCAACGCCCGCAAATAAATAAGCCGAACCAGTTCCAACGGTAAACCGTAGCGACGCTGCGATGCCATTCGGATTAATACACAAACAGATGTGCAGGCAGGTGTAGAGAGTAAGTGAAGAAGCCCGCGGAGGTGAAGGGCAGGAATCCGGCGGCCGGGGGGGGGGGGCGGCCGGGAATGAGTCTGAACCACGTAACTGCCCTTCCCCGAGCAAGAGCGTGTACGGATGAACATGGATTGTCGACGGAAAGGGGGAAACAGGAGGGCCAAACCCTAGTCATTGAGGCCCCTCTCTCTCTCTCTCTCTGCCTGCACTTCTCTCTATATCTATCTACACCTATCTTATTTGTAAATACCATCGGAACCATATTCGAGGATTCTATGCGAAGAAAGGGGAACAACGCCAGATGTGAAAGAGCGGTTGCATAGCCAAAAGGCCTGAGAAACAGGAGTTCAGTGCCTACCTATGAATCCTCTCGTTAGTGCCCGCTCCATCGTCCTGCCTCTACCTCACGTTTCACTCTATACATGGCCACTTACTCTTTCTCTCTCTCCCTCCTTTTACTCTGACGTTTCTCTTTCAGTGTTCTCCTGTTGTCTTTTTGGTAGGTGATCAAGAAGAGCTGAGAACTGCGGCTGCGGAGTGGCATGACACTCCATTTCAAGTCCACGGGGGCTCATCTATCAAAGAATGGGTGAGAAAGACGAGATATCGGCGAGCAGGGACTACGTTATAACCACACCTCCTCCCATCCTCTTCCCAAATGTTCTCATTCCCTGATCCTTCTTCCAAAAAACCCTACTTTCTCAATCTGAGACTTCTCCTCCCCCTATGTCATCCTTATCATCTCTCTCGCCCTCAGTCACCATCGTCCAAATGACCTCGCCCGCGCAACCCTTTTTTTAGCAGCCGCAGTGATGGTGCCTCCAGCACAAGTGACGCCGCTACCGCCGCCTCCGCCGCCGCCTTCTTCCCGCCTCGGTGACCCATTAATCCGTAGGAACACCGTTTCGGCAACATCAACCAGGGCCTCCTGCGGTGGTAAGAAAGGAACGGTAAAAGGGCCTATGAAGGCACTCGGAACCGGCAGAAGGAGACCTCAGCGGAAGGACCGCCATAGCAAGATCTTCACAGCGCGGGGGCCGAGGGACCGTCGGATGAGGCTCTCCCTCGACGTGGCGCGAAAGTTCTTTGATCTGCAGGACATGCTTGGCTTCGACAAGGCCAGCAAGACGGTCGACTGGCTCCTCACCAACGCCACCAGCTCGATCAAGGAACTCGTCAGCTGCTCCCCGCCGCCCCACGCTGCCGGCAAGAGCGAGTCATCCACCTCGGAGTGCGAGGTCATCTCCACCAGCACACCTCTCTTGCCTGTCGCCGCTGTGGAGAACATCACCCTCCAACCGGCTAAAGTTGTGCCCCTCCGGCGATCCAGGAAAGGCGCGACCCATCCGATGCTCTCGAGAGAGTCGAGGGTTTTGGCGAGGGCCAGAGCGAGGGAGAGAACCAGAGAGAAGTTGGGGAGGAAAGGAGCCGAAGTCGTCGGGCAGAGGAAGCTTTTGGCCGAGGAAGAGATTGGTGGTGGTCAAAGCGGGAAGTCCTCCTTGGAGTTGATGGCGGAAGAAGGAGATGGTCAGCCGAGCTCTCGCTCAACGGAGCAGCACCACAAGGACTCTGGTGGATCCCCCCCTTTGGTAATTCCTAGTGCATCTGGCCCCGTGTCGGTGTTCGACTACAACCAGACTATAATCAGCGAAGCCATTGGGCTTGTTCAAGAACACTGGAGCATGCAATCATCAGGTAACGTGGAGGAGCAGCGTGTTCTTCTCTCTGACGCCCAGTTGATGCCTTGGTTTTGGGATCCCTACAGCAATCCCTCCATTTGATCGTATGATACCCATGTTTCTATTCCTCGTCTCTTCTGCTCTTCTTCCTAGATGCTCCATTCTTCATCTGCAGTATTGTTGCCCTGATGCTCTGATGTCTTCTTGTCGATGATGAAATCTGTGTATCATGTGCCGTGAGAGTCCAGACCCGTCTCGGCTTCCACTGATCCGGCGAACTGTGAGACTCGTTTGGATTAGTACCATTGCAAGATTTTTTTAAAAGGACTACCACAGCGTGGGATCTTATTTCGAATTTTACCGGGGAAATAAAATAACACAGGAGATTTCTTGGTCAGAAGCAAGCGCGTCACTACATTCAAGAGTAGATATTATTTTAAAATAATCTGCTCTGCTTCTCGCGTTATTTCGTTGGAGGTTTGCAGGCTTTAGATTTTATGGCAGCATTTATGTAGCAGAAACATACCTTGTTTCATGAAAACGAGATGTTTCTCGGGTGAATCTGAGAACATCAGCGTTGATAAGTGTTTCAACAAATGTCCGTAAAGCTACCAACATGATGCACTGAAATGAGGCTTCAGTTAACCTTAGATTGTCAAAAAAATAAATTCGGCTGGAATTGTCTTGTTGCGGCTTGATATCACGACGAGCATTATTCGTCTTTCAATCGACAGATTGGGTTCTCGTAGTTTATCAGCCATCAAATCCAACAGCTTTCAGGACCTTCAAATCTAGGCATTCTCCTGTGAACATCAATCGGGATCTCCCGCTAAAAGATCTCTCGGTCAACAATGTCATGCTCGAAAAGATAAGCCTCGACAATGCAGAACTCAGGAGGGGATTATATCTCAATATTTTTAGTTATTTGGAACAGTCCGCGTTCTTGGGAAGTGCAGTAAGAGGTACACTGTCGGTGTTGAGGCTTTAGGAGTCCCTGTTTAATGTCAGTAGCTTTGTCCTGTTAATACTAATGCCCTTTCGCTGCGTAAATAAAGTGCAGAATAATACAATATTCGAGAGTTCGTTGTGGAAGCTCCCCGCCTTTCAAGTGACAACTACGCAGAAGAACCCCTTCATGCATGTAATAACGAGGAAAAAATGGAAGTTCCAGTAACCTTAAAGAAGAAAATTTGGCCCGACGAAGGAATGAAATGGCAAGAGAACTTATGTCGCACTTGTTGAATGAAGAAGAACCTTTTCGCATTTCTTTTCCAATCTGATATCTCCACCTGTCCATCCATGGTCGACACGCCATTCGTCTTGTAGTATACTACGGACTTGGCGATGGTCCTTACCACTAATCTAATGAGGATCCTGGTTCCAACATAATCTTTGTTGCAGTGCTTCCATATCAAGACTTCTTCACCTTGCCGTCAGCGCACCTGTCGGCCGTCTCCGACATACCAAGTAAATTTTCTCTTTAATCGTTCAGCTGCAAAGGTTCCGACATCAACCTCTCGCAGGATGTCATGGGGTGATGATGTTCGTGCCGCTGAGGACCGTATGAAGACTGTATGGAAAGCTGACGGAGTATCGGATTTGGGGTTCCTAGTGTTCCCAACGACGAAATATCACAGTAAAACCGCCTATTCTTAAGTTACTTACCGAGGTTTCTTATATGACAAAAGCCGCGGCGGTCTGAGAAATTTCTACTTCTTTTAGCTGCCAATGGAGTCCCAGAGGCATCAGGATCTTTGTATCAGAGGGGAGGTCCTAAGGAACAAAGAAACATGGCGTATGGCTTCTCTCGTACTTGGTTGGGGTCATTTTCTTCCTTTTTTCGGGAAAAAGAAACGTATTCGTTAGTCAGCTGAGCATGACATCTTTCTCTAGTGCTTGCTTGAGCATTTATAACTTGTCCTGGTGAAGGAGTCTGATGTCATTGCTATTTGGAACTCGCACTGCATGCGAGTGAGCTCCGGTGAGGCACAGATCTGTCCTCCGAGTTGATCCTCGTCCATGTCTGTATGACAACAGACAAGAGGACATAGTTCACCGAAACAATACTGGAAATGAATGAATTAACAAAGATCGAAAGTGACGGTGAGACAAGACCCATGCAGTGACTTTTACTAACAAAATGGAGAGTGAGGGTTTTTCTGCTGCGGGAGATGTACCGGCGAGGGGTCGATATCGAAGCAATCCCCCGCCGGTGCACCCTTCCACCGTAATCCCCGGCGCTCCGTTTACCTTTACTGCGGTTCCTCGGAGACCTGCAATGTCCTTGCCAGCTTATCTGACGGGCTTCTCCACGGTCCCTGAGCATGGAGGTGGGAACAAGGGCGGCGACGGCTCGTCCATAGAGTAGACCATGGAGGAGTGGCTACAGGCGCCCTGAACCCGAACCCTCCGCCGCAGGCGGCGCAGGCAACGAAGTGAGCTTTGACAAGACGGTGACTTCCCCGCCGGCGTGAGGTGTGCGGCTCGGCTTTTTCCAGAAAAAGATGATGACCAGGGTGGGTGAAGAAGGGAGAAGAGGAGTGAGCTGCTGCGGCGCGCTGTCTCTACTCTGCCACCGGCGGCTCAGCCGCTGTCTCTGCGCTCCATGTATGCATCTGGTACTACAATACTCGATCGGGGGGGAGGATCACTCTCTTTAATCCCTACACTGGAAAATTTATTTACCTCTCCTTTCATTAAAGACTCGGAAAATTATCCTCGTAGCCGCTTTTTTGCAACACTCTTAATGGGCCTCAGATTACTCTCTGATACTGACATGCCGCAAGAGAATCCCATTTAAATCCCTCCTGACCTCCTCCCAGGTGCTATTTTAAGTCAACAAAACACGCTACGGTAGCACAGCCGAGGCAGCATTTACTGCTACCTGGCGCTCGAACAAAATCATGCAGCCGTCGGCTTACAGCACGATTTTCATTTATCCAAACAGCTTCTAGGGTTTGACTTTTTTACTCCAATTTAACATATGTATTTCGTCTTGTTACTGGAATTCAGCCTCACTCCCGGGGAAGCGAGGGTAGAGCTTTACGAAAGCACGATTTTCATCGAGTTACTTCTCCTGCTAACTTCAGGCTACTCAGGCTTCATCTGACAGGCGTGCTTCATCCCTGATGCAACCCTAGAATAACGAAGAAAATATTGTTTCTCGATATCACAATGCTTTGAAAGAGTTTATTAAAAGAGACTGCGGATAAGAAATTATCTATTGTTGGGCGTGAGCCACCCATTGTTAAAGAGAGAACATTCGCCAGAACCCGAACCCTACTAGAGAGATGATGGGGAAAGTAACACATCAACTTATCGAAACATTCGACCTAGAAGCTGTTGAGAGGATCAATCAGGAACCACCCTAAACTTCTGAAAAGCTTTCATCAACGTATCTAATGCGCACGGGTTACTCGCATGATTCGTCGCCATGATCCTCATGAACACGAAAGTGCGTGGTGAACCTCAATTAAGTGATCATAAACCATTTTGAAATGAACTGAACACTGTGGACAATAAATTATACGTAGAACAAAGCTTGATCCAGGTGAAACCAGGGGATGAATGGTGTGACATTCTAGCGTGTAGATCAAACAATAACAGCATCGTCTCAAGATGCAGATATGATGTTTATATGAATTTATATTGAGTTGCATATGTATTAGTCTCACATCTATATACTCGCTGATTTTCTAGTAACCTAATTATCGGACAAATTATCCTAGTTCTCTTTTTCTGTATAACCCTAGATTGACCAACCTCCATGACTTTGGAACGGTGGTGTTGCTGGTGACCATTATGCACGACATAGTTCTCCTTGATCTTGTGATAACTAGGCATAACAACGTCCTGAAAGATTCCTAAACATTATGCATGCACTCAACTATGTAGGTATAGTAATACATTCTTTTAAAAGGCTTTATCAACGAAAAATAGGGTAAGACTTCTCAAGTGTGCATCGAGACAATATGCATTTCAGCGTGTATATCAAAATAATAGTCCTATATTGTCAAAACGCATTATCGATGTTTAAAATCTGATGTCAATGTTCCTATTAAATTCCTACTAAAATGCATTCCCATTGAATTCTCTCCCTCTCCCTCTTCCTCTCCCTCTTTCCTATCTCTCTCTCTCCCTCTCCCTCTTTCCTCTCTCTCTTCGTCTCCCTCTTTCCTCTCTCTCTCTTCGTCTCCCTCTTTCCTCTCTCTCTCTTCGTCTCCCTCTTTCCTCTCTCTCTCTTCCTCCCCCTCTTTCCTCTCTCTCTCTCACACACACAATCTTCCTTAGGCTGTGGCTCCAGGTGTTGATACATGGGGACGAGATTGTGATGAGAGTGAGTAGATCACTACGATGATGCTCTCATGCAAAGAATCTGAACCCACCACCTGTACGTCAAGGTGTCAACTTTAACAATTAAACTAGGGTTTTTCTGGGTACAGAGAACAACCCTCAAGATTCTGGGCAAGACCTAATTGGAAACGCTTTAGGAGCGCCCCGAAGTCAAAGAATTTGTATCGAGTGAGCTTCCGAGCCCGGGATCATATGGGCCTAAATGGGCTTCCACCAACCGGCCCAAGTGAGGTTCCAAGTAATTATTTTAGGTAAAATCGCAAGAATATTATTGAATATAATATTCTCAACAGTGTAGACGGGCCGGGCTGGTAGTGCGATGCGGGATCATCTTCTTCGCCAGTTTCTATGGCGCAGCTGCCGGCGACCGAGGCAGCCGCTCGCCGGAGCTCCGCCGGAACGTGGCGCCTGCGACCACCTCCCCAAGGGGCCCTTCTCTCCATTACTGCATTTCCGTATCTCTAACGTTCGTCTTTCTACGTCTCTCTACAATTCTGTCCATTGTCCTCTGCGGGCCCGCTCTGTGGCCCTCTGCGAGCGTTATGAGGGCGGCCACCTCCTCCGGCGAACACCATTGGGCTTCTTTCTCTTGGTCACATGGCGCCGTCGTTCTCCCCTCCCTCAGTCTCTGTTCCTCATCAGACCGCGCTGGACCGGCTTAACCGGTCATTGGCGACCGGGCCGGGGCGGGAGATTAATTTGTTTAGATGTTTCAATTCTCGGAGAGATGCGGATCGCCGGAATCGGAGGTTGAGGCGGCGGCGGCGGTCGGGGGCCATTCGGCGGAGAAAGGTCAGAGCAGCTTGGCTGCAGTCGGTTAATCCTGAGAAGGGCGGGTGGTGCGATTAGTTGGGGGGGTGGGGGAAGTGGAGGAGGTGATGGGGTTGGAGAGGAGCCGCCGGCTGCTGGTGCTCTACGGATCCCAGACCGGAACAGCCCAGGACGCCGCCGACCGCGTGGGAAGGGAGGCGGTACGCAGGGGATGCCCTTCCGTAGATGTTCTCTCTGTGGACGAATTCGACGCTGTGAGGATTCTTCGCCATTGCTGTTGGATACTCCTTGCGATTTAATGATTCAATTTTAGGAATCGCGTGTTTCCCTCTTGAGCTTTCTTCTGCTATTTCGTGTTTTTCAACGAGGCATGATGACTTTTTGGGATTTTTTTTTGGCGCTGCTGATATATGAGATCAATCATCTCTCCACTCTTTTCCTTGTTTCTCTATGCTGTTGCATCCTGATTGGTCTTCCTCCTAAGGGGTAACTTCCAATCGTTCCTCTCGGTCGTCGGTTTTCTTCTGATGATCCTACGTTTGATGTAGGTGACTTTAATTTTTTTCTCTTTTCACCTGGTAATTTGGAGGTATTTGGGAAAGCTTTTTTCATAGGACACAATTTGACCTTCAAATGAGTTTTCGTTCCAAGAAATTGGTTACTTACGGATTCAGTTTTATGTTAATGAGAACAGTTCTTCACAAGATGTAAAGTGCCAAAACGACCCATGTGAGCTGAAAATTTTTACTTTTTATTTTTTGTTTTTACGACAAGATCTGTCAATAAGGAATTTGATAAGTTGGCTGGAGCTGCTGTCTTTCCACGGTTTCACCAGCAATAAACTTCATGAAAAAGGTTCATTGATGTTGGGAACTTGAAAAACTGCAGCTTTTGTTCAGAACTTGAGGCTCACTTTACATAGGGTTTCGATTGCAGTTTAAGTAGGATGTTTGACTGATACTTATCTTACCTCTGTAAGAGGTTTGCAGTTAAATCTCAACGCCGGATTTGTGGGATCAATTGTTCTTGTCGTCATCACATTCTGGATTTAAAACTATTTTTCTTGTGTGAATGCAAAGATTGAATAAAGATATTCAGATGAAATTTATACGCTCCGAACCTGACGTTTATTGGTTGTTCTCTTTGTTCCAATGGACTCATGAGTGAGTAGCTCTTTATAGGTTAACTGTTTCGCGTGAGTTCCTCCTTTGAAATTGCTTTTTTGTCTTTTGTGAAGTGACAATGCCCTAATTCCTACCTAAATATTTTAAATTATTTTTCTTGGCATACTTTAGCTGGTTATTCTATCTATGATTGTTTTTTTAAACACTTGAGTAGAAAAGTTTCCCTCCTTTTTCAGAGATTGCTACCCAGTGAGGATGTTGTGATTTTTGTCGTGTCCACTACAGGCCAGGGCGATATGCCAGATTCTATGAAGGTTCGTTGATAAATTAAATCGGTGTGCTTTGACTTGATCAGCTTCCCTCATTTTTTCTGAAATTAGAATAGCTTCTTTTTGCAGGAGTTCTGGAAGTTTCTTTTGCAGAAAAACATTAGTGATCAGTGGTTGGAACATGTTCATTATGCTGTCTTTGGACTCGGTGATTCTGCCTACCAGAAATATAATGTAATATATGCAATCGATTTCTACGTTTTTTTATCTGAAAGGTTGGCATTCATGCTAATTCTGTGCTTCGAATGGCCCAATATTTATGTCATCGTCTGGAAATGTATATATATCTCTCGTCATATCCTCCAAAACTCTCTCTTTATTCTCTTCATTTCTAGACTCTTCTTCAGTCTTTTTTCTCTTTATTCGTTTTTCATTTTTTCCTTTCCTGGCTTGAATCAACTGCAAGCCTCTATGGATCAGAATAAGCCCTACATTTTGTATTCTTATTCCTTAATTTTTTCCCCATTTCGGCATCACCCTCATGAGGAATTTTGGCTGCAGTGGAGCTGTAAATGGGGATAATGTAATAAGCTTGCCATTGACCATAGAACAGGGGATAATGTGTTTGGGGCTAACGCAATCCTCCATTAGATTGCATTGGATACTAATTTTCTTTTTGTACCTTGATTAAATGGATCAATTTTGCCATGCACTGGAGGCAAGTAGTTTATATGTTCCCAGGTTGAGTTTGATGGAAGTTGATCCTCCTATTCATCTAATGAATTACAAATCTTGACTCATAAAAATTTAAGTTCGATCTTCAATGCGTTCACCGAGGCACCCCTAGGCAACAAGGTGTTGGGGGGGGGGGCGGGGGTGGGGGGGTGGGGAGGGGGTGGGGGGAAGAAAAAAGAAAATAAGGAAAACAGACTTGTTATGGCCTTAACTTCAGCGAAAACTTGTTCTGTTGGTGGTCATGAGGCAGTTTCCTTATGTAATAGTTCATAAATCACCTTGAATTGATGATCGGTGGTCTCAGTTTTTAATGCATTGAATGCTTTATGGTGGCCAACTTCAACTTTGTGTGGCACATCTTTATCCTGTGTGAAGCAGAGATTTAGATGTGTACACAGTTTAGAAAACAGAAAAAAATAAGATCCATTGGTGCTTCTTCCTTTCACAATGTGGATGCACATGCTTGGATGAATCTGTGCATGCTTATTCGAATTGAGTAGTGTTTCCTATGTATACTGAAACATACTGAATATATAGTTTCTGAGCAGGATTTGTTGAGGATTTCCCGTTTTTTAAGATTTTCTGATTGAAATTCTTTGATTTTTTTTATCATTTCAGTAGAGAATAAGCCTTCAAAATTAGTCTGCATTAAATTATTGATTCATTAAACGGTACTTTCGAATTACTTGTGTTTGATTTTACTTTCTCCATATAAGTTGGCTTATTATGATTTTGAAAATAATTTTATCCTCAACATGCATGATACTGATGAGGGTAGTCAAACTTCCTGTTAATGGGCCACTTTTATGAAGGCTTTTGAGGTCAATGTTGATATTTTATTGCATATCTCTGCCTCCTCCTCATATTTATGCTAATTACTGAAGATAGTTTGCAGCAAAGAAGCTGGATAGGAGGCTCCTGAACATCGGAGGAAAGCCTTTAGTCCAAAAAGGCTTGGGAGATGACCAGCATCGTTCAGGGTATGCTATGATCTAAGGTTGTTGCTGGCCATGTAAACATGTTTTAAACAGTACATTGATGCTCTAGTGTATAATTGTTGAATGATTGACTTTGACGTTAACTTATCATTTCTCGTTTTTATGAAATAACATTTATTAGGGATATTTGTCAATTGGTGAGCATTTCCTCCTTTAATGCCCTGTGTGATCAGTTTTTGGGCATTTGAGATCTTCTTCCTTCATTGATTGAACTTGGAGACTTTGTTACAGCTTTTGTTGCGTTGCTATTTAGCCATCTAAAGATGATGACGCAGAGATATATAAAGTTATTTTCTTAGAAGAACGCCCTGTTTTCTCATTCACAGGATCATCACGTTTTCACTATCTGTGTGGTTGATAACTTGCTGCAGACAGAGAGATCTATGTCGGTTTATGGAAATTGTTTTATTTTTTTAAATACTTCTTCGGATTATCTTCATTTTTTTGTCTGTACTAAAATGAAAGCCATCAATTTTCCATTTTTCCGTTCATACTTTCCTGTTTTACTCAATTCGTATTATAATTCAGTATTTGAGCTGACTCAGTGTCGTTTTGGTTTATTTATAGATATGAGGGTGCTTTTGATCTTTGGCTTTCATCTCTATGGAATGCGTTGCATGAAAAGGATCCTATGCTGTTACCTAGAAGCATAGATAACCTGGACGCTTCTACTCAATGTTTAGACTCGCCAAAATTTGAAGTTATTTTCCATAGCATCAATGAGATGGTTGCTACAGGTACTTCGACTTTATCAGGTAAAAATCCATTTGGTTACCAGAGATGCTTTGCTTCACATTTCAACTCAAATAACATTGATGTTTTTGCAGTTTATTTGTTATTTAACTCTTTTCTTAAAGAAATCGGTGTATAACTTGAAATCAGGCGGGTGCATCTTGTCGGGAATTTATGAGGAAAAACAAAAAAAAAACATAATCGAATTTTATGTCAACATGAATCTAAGAAAGTATATCAAGATTTTCATTCCACTTGAAGAGGCCTGGTATTTTAATTGAATGTTCAACTTCAAGTTGCCTTTTTTAAGTGACCTATGTTGTGTTGTTTAGTTCAGTATCTCACACATTGATCAGAGTTTTGTACTCTTATAGCTATTTTATATTATTTGTTTATTTTAGGTAAAAGTGATAAATAAATTTGACACATCGATAGATACATGGCAGTAAAACTTTTCTGTGTCCGTATATCTGGTGTTGGCGATATGTAGTGTCTGACATTTGTTTACGTCTAGGTCAGACATCCATGTGTTTTCACCATAGAGCACAGCCTTAGATATTTAGACTAATGGCTAGTCATAGAATATAATGTAACCTAAATCACATTTAATAGTTGCTGTGGACTTTTACCTGTGGTACTTGGGGGTGACTCGGCATATTAGTAGCAGTGTAGTAACTGCCATTGGTAGCTTAAGAGGAGGTTGGACAGGAGTTGTCATCTGTAGTTGAAAGTATCCATTTCGGTTGCTTTCCATTTTACACCAGTTTTAACTTGTCCAAGATACTGCGGGATCTCGATCTGATGGAAATCTGATAATACTTCGCTTTCTGCCTTAATGATATTTGGAAGCGTGGGCCTCATAACTGATGATCATGCCTTCCGTGTTGGTAGAATAAGGACGTGTTTTCTGTTGCAGTGAAATAGGTAGAAGAATGGTTTAAAAGTTCGGCGTTCATCTCCTGAAAACCTCGCTGGTTCTTGTAGCACTTAATAATCTCGTTTTGTTAAAAGGAACAGATCATTTTAGTATCTCTTCTTTTGAGAAAATACCAGTGGAACAAAGTTTTCTTTAATGGAAGGACACACGTCAAGCACAAGCAGCTGGAAGGGAATATCCATGATGAGGGCTTCAGAGTATTCGCTTCTGGCAATCATATCCTTTCGAAGGGTTAACTCCTGGGAAAAGAAAGGTTCTGTATCACAGATGGAGACTGGATAAGGCACAAGGGATCACAGTTGCAGTTTTGACGATTGAGATATGAATCACTGAAGATAATGTGTTCACCCTTACATTTTAGAACAGAAATACCCAGTTGAACTCAAGGGCTTGAAAATCTCACAGGAGTCACGAATTTCTGTTGATAACTCCCTCACAGGGAGACATTGGACTGGTTAGATTTGAAGGTCGCCTGTAAATTAGATGATTAATTATGAGATTAATCCAGTAAAACTTGAGTCAATAAAATTTGTGTCATACTTAACCCGTCGGTTCTGACAAAATCGAGGTTAGAGTTGTTGGAATCTGACTGTAACAACTTGCTTAGTATGAAATTAAAGGATTTAGGAGAGCCATTCATTACTATCATCATTTATAACTTATCTTTTTAAGTTCTCCAATTTCTTGGAAAAATGGTCCTGATAGAGCACTTGATTCAGAAAATCATAGTTCGTTTTTTCTATGTAGATTTCCTTCAATGTTCTCACATTATTTTGCATACAACTTTGGAGCATGTAGTGCGCTGTCCCCCCTCCTGAACGTTTTTTTGGTGAACCCTGAGTCGAATATCTATGACAGATTTAAACTGCGCCAAGAATCTGATTGGGAAAGTTCGCTCAATGTCTCTTGGAAAATCCCATTACAAAAGGCCACAGTATCTTCTCCAATTGGTACAACCCTATCTATTTCGTGGACTTCAATATTTTACCGTTCTGCATATTAGTCGTGTACTTGCATTGTGATTCATGTGCATGCATGCATATGTTAGTAATGCATATGCCCGTATGCATGTGCACATGCATATGTTAGTAATGGCATGGAATAAGTGGACTTATTTGTAGCAGCATTGAAGTGGATGGTGATTTATCTATGTGGGAATGCGTCATTTTTTCACCTTTTTAATGTTTATCCCCTTGTTGTATCTTGATTAAGCAAGAATGTGTTCTACCTTCACTGTAAGGAAGAAATGATTGGAAAATTTAATTTCATATCGTTCTCTTGGTTTTTTTTCATTGAGAATTCAGAATGTATCTATTGTATGAAAATATTGTTGGTTTACTCCGATTCAGCAGCTATTTGTTCATAGTGCATCAACGCATTGATAATTCTTGCAAAAGGCACAGCTCATCACCTGGGTCTTTTCGAGTCTTATCTTTTGCTCCTCAGTTAAGGCATTCTGTAGGCCTCCCTTCCTTTTGAGCTTGTTCTAGGATTCATATGAGCGTTGACTTGTTTTGAGAGGTGAAAGGAATTATGATTCTCAGTAAATGTTCCTTTTTCTAGATCACAAATCAGCAGTTGATAAAATCCGACGCTGACGCCGACGTCCGTCATTTGGAATTCGAATCTTCTTCGTCTGTGAGCCCTTTTCTCTGTCTTTCCATGCCAGAGGTAACTTTTTAGTGTCAGATGATTTTGATCATTGCTGCCATTCTCTTCAGGACCTTCGGTACCAAGTGGGAGATGTTCTTGAGGTTCTCCCTGCTCAGGATCCGGATGCTGTGGAGGCCTTCATCCGCCGGGCAAACCTTGATCCAGATTGTTACATCACGGTACTTAATTCTTTCCCATGCCTTTTTTTTTCTCTCTCATGAGGTGGAAATGCAGGATAAGAGCGAAGCTTTAAATTGAGAACGAATACTATAATTTCTAGTTTATGCTTATTAAGTTGGTGAATATTTTATCTTTCAATCTGCAGATTAAGTACAAAATATATATTTTTTTACTTTATTTAGTGTCTGATGAATTGGATTTTGTGAAATGCCAATTCATGTAATGTGATAATTTCACATTTATTGTTGCCAACTATATATATATGGTCAGAAGGCTGAGCTTCATCATCTTAGATGACAATAAAAGATATTCCGGTTCCCTTTTAAGGTACATTTATTATTTTATTTTCCTCAAAGTGTGAAATAACAAGTGAAGTTCCTATTTTAGGTCCGACCCAAAGTCATCGGCAAACATCACGATTCTTCTGCGGATATGTCAACGCCGCCGGTCAAACTGAGAACATTTGTTGAGTTGGCGATGGACGTGGCATCAGCCTCCCCCCGTCGCTATTTCTTTGAGGCAAGATTGACAAATATGCTCATGGGATTTTTTAAAATTTTATTTTGTGTGTGAAATTTTCCCGAATATTTAATCATAATGATTTATCTTTTTGCCTTTGATAACGTGGTAATTATTTTTTATCATATTCATGCATTCAGACTGCACGATAATCTACAATAAATCTTTGAAAAGATTCATCGCGTGCGCATAAATCTTGGATTTTTAATGATATTATTATTTATTCATTTACTTATTTTCCTGTTCCACGCATCAGGTCATGAGCTTCTTTGCAAGTGCTGAACATGAGAAGGAGAAGCTCCAATACTTCGCATCCCCTGAGGGCAGGGATGATCTCTTCCAGTACAATCAGAAGGAACGGAGAACCGTCTTAGAGGTATAATCCCATGATCTGATCCTCGATCTCCGATATGTTTCCTAAGTTTAGGCCAAAAACCTTGGGTTTATATTTTTTATTTAAATCCGCGCGCAGGTGCTGGAGGACTTCCCCTCGGTGCAGCTGCCCTTCGAGTGGCTGGTCCAGCTGGCGCCGCCGCTGAGGACGAGGGCCTTCTCCATCTCCTCCTCCCCCCTGGCTCACCCCGACCAAGTCCACCTTACCGTTAAGGCGTTGACCTGGACAACTCCTTTCAAGAGGAAGCGCTCCGGCCTCTGCTCCAACTGGCTCGCCGGAGTTGTCCCTCGGAAGGGTAAATATATATTTCTACAAACGCTCTTCCCTCGGCTTCCGATTCAGCCGCCGTAATTTACCTTTCCGGGTTACAGGGGTTCCGATTCCGGCGTGGATTCACGGGGGGTGCCTGGCGGCGCCGCCGCCTTCGGAGCCGCTCATTCTGGTCGGGCCGGGGACGGGGTGCGCCCCCTTTCGGGGGTTCGTGGAGGAGCGGGCGGCGCAGAAGGCGGAGGGGGCGGCGGTGGCGCCGATCCTCTTCTTCTTCGGGTGTCGGAACCAGGAGAAGGACTTCCTCTACCGGGACTTTTGGGTGTCGCACGCTCAAGACGGCGGCGTGCTAGCGGCGGGCAGCGGCGGCGGCTTCTTCGCGGCTTTTTCCAGGGACCAGGTCCACAAGGTGTACGTGCAGCACAAGATGAAGGAGGAGAGGAAGAGGGTTTGGCGGCTGCTGAGCGGCGGCGCCGCTGTGTACATCGCTGGCTCTTCTGCTAAAATGCCGGCGGACGTCGTGACGGCGCTGGAGGAGATCGTCGCCGAGGAGGCTGGTTTGGACAGCGAGGCCGCCGGCAGATGGCTCAGGAGGCAGAGAGCCGGCGGGATCTTCATCGAGGCTTGGTCGTGACACCAAGCGACGATGTTTCCGTTGACCTGAGAACTTAGTTCATGTTTCCCTTTCCATAAACGGAAATAAAATATCTTACTATTTCTTTCACCATTTCCGTTGACTTCTGTCCACACACAGCTAAATAGCGAGACGGAGAGAGAGAGAGGAGATCCTGGTGGGGTCCATTGGCTGAGTGGTGACCAGCTATTTCCAACCCTGGGCCAAGTGGGGCGGAGATAAATACGTTACGACGTTCAAATTTTCAAACCCTCGCGGGAGGTGGCGGCAGTGGTGGTGGGGTGTCAAGTCCGGAGGATATTGCTCAGATCTGCCGCGCAGTCGATCGATCACCAGAGGGGGCCGAAGAGGAAAGGAGGGGATGGAGGGGGAGAGACCCCGCCGGCTGCTGGTGCTCTACGCCTCAGCGAGGGGGACTGCGGGGGAGGCGGCAGAACGCCTGGGAAGGGAAGCGCTGCGCAGGGGCTGTCCCTCCGTACGTGTTCTCTCCGCGCAGAAATTCGACGCTGAGAGGATTCTTCGCTGTTGCTGTCCCGTAATCCTACGATTTTGGCGTTTAAATTCATCGGGTGCTCTTCTTGCTTTCTGGATCCTTATCCGGCTCTTTGCTACTTTTTCCAACTTCAATGTGTGACAACTTCCGGGGGAGTTCTTTCTGGCTCAGGGAACCTATCATCACGCCTCGTTTAACTGTGTTTGATGGTTTTTTTTTGTTGTTGTTGGATCCAGAGCGTTCTTTCTCCTTGGTTCCATCGATTTCACAGTCATGATCCTATCTTTTTGTGTAGAGTGAGCGCATGTCTACTGCAAGGCCAAACTCGGAATAACTCCTTTCCAGTGTTGGTTCATCCGTCAGAGAACAATGCTCAGATTAAATTGCTACATTCTTATACTCCTGTTTCTCGGCTGTTCTCTCCTATCCAGTGGACTCTTGAATGAGTTCCTCTTTCGAGATAACTCTTATGTTTTGATAAAATATTGATACCATTTGCTCTTACGTAAATATGTACAAATATTGCTTCTTAGGATTCGTAAACTGCTGCTTCCGTCTGTGGTTTTTATTGCAACTTCTGACAAGAAATTTTTTGCCTCCTCTCTCAGAGTTCTCTGCCTCTAGAGGATATTGTGATTTTTGTAGTGTGTACTCGAGGCCGAGGTGATATGCCACGTTCAGTGCAGGTTTGTTCTTGATAAAATTTACTTGGTTCGGGTTTAGTTGGCTTCCTTCATCATTTATGAAATTAAAATAGCTTCCTATTGCAGGAGTTCTGGAAGTTCCTCGTGCAGAAGAATATTAGTAAAAGGTGGTTGGAACATGTTCATTATGCCGTCTTTGGATTGGGTGATTCTTCGTACGAGAAATACAACGTAATATCACCAAACTTATCACTAAATTTTATTATCTGGATCCTTAATGTGCATTGGCGATCTTTGTTTACAATGCCTCCACGCTTATGGCATTTTTTGGACCTGTTACCTCATCCTGTTCTGTAGCATGGAGTTTTTCAGTATTGTTGCATAATTTAATTTTAGATGTCAATGCATATTGTTTAGATTTACTATGTTGTCGCACCATGTGCGAATTTTTCATCAGAGGATGGTATTGGTATTTGAAGCAGTAGCATTGCTGCTTTAGGGTTTGTTCTGTGGGTTTAGTAGAGCAATATAGGCGCTAGTTTGTTCACTTGTTTCTTTCTTGTGCATGTTCATGTGGCTAAAGAAGTCTTTTTGTGGCTGTGTTTTTATTCTCTCTCTCTCTCTCTCTCTCTCTCTCTCTCTCTCTCTCTCTCACACACACACACACACTTATATTTATATCTTCTCCAACAGTGAATTTCTTTCGTTATTGCACTTCCCTCTTCCCTAGTCTTCTTTATCTCTTATCTCTATCCTTTCCGGTTTATCAGCATTGAGCCAGTATGACCAGTATTAACCCAGAACCCTCTCTTATCATTTTTTGATTTTTGTCTATTTCTATCTGACTACCTGAACGACCTTTAATTGCTTTAGGTGTTGGCCTTCCTATTGACAAACCCAATGCTTTTGTGTAGCGTACTGAAAGGAATGATGTTGTTTATTGTTTTATTGCATGTCTCAGTCTATCTCTAGTTCACATGTATTATTGACCACAGTACGCAGCAAAGAAGCTGGATATGAGGCTCTTAAAGATTGGTGGAAACCCTATAATCGAAAAGGGCTTGGGAGATGCTGAGCACCCTTTAGGGTATGCTATGAACTAAGGCTCTTTGGGTCATGATTTTTTTTTTTTTTTTGAGTACATTGATGTTCTGGAGTACTTTTGTTAGTGATTGATTTTTAGTTTGCGAATATTTTCTCCATGTTTTAATGTCCAATATATCTGCGTCGTTTAGGATGTTTCGGACTTCATGGTCATAAACTTGAAGACTTTCTTATGGTCACTGTTGACTTGTGATTTTAAAACCATTCAATTGGATGTCACATAGACTTGTGAAGTTATCTTTTAGCGCCCCTGTTGGTCAATAGTTAAGAATCATCTTCCCATTTTCTGGGTGGTTTATACCTGGATATTTCTAGAAAGCTTAGACATAGACATTGTAACTGTTGCATTCTGTTAAATGCTTACTGCTTTACATTTCCTGTATGGAATAAAATAAATATCATCCACTTTGCCTTTGTCATTACAAAATTTCAGGCTTTAACCGATTCATGTTGTAGGCCACAATGACCATCGACTAAATATATCTGATTTCTTTTGTAGATATGAAACTGCTTTTGATCCTTGGCTTTTTATCTTTATGGAATGCACTGCATGAAATGGATCCTACACTGTTGCCTAATCTAGACTCTTCTAGTCACAGTTTGGAGATACCAAAAATTGAGGTCACTTTTCATGACATCAACATGATGACTGATACACAGACATCTTTATCAGGTAACTTGTGCTTTATTATTAAGGTTCTTTGGTTGTTATTTGCTGCTAAAAAGATTCTCTTTTTTTTTAATTTGTCTCTCCATTTAACTCCTTTTGAAAAAATGTCCCTGTATAGCTTGATATCGTAGTAATGCATGTTTATAATTTTTATCGCATTTGAAAATCCATCGTCATTAGAGATTTGTTTATTCTAACTTCTCATTGTCTTTTGTGAGTTAATCTCTTTTACAACTAAAAAGGGCAAAGCATTGGCTAGAAATTTCTACTTACATATCTTTCCATTAATTTATTATTCGCATTTCCTGCTGTGATCGCAAGTCTCCAAGTGGGCCCTCGTGCCTTTTTTCTAGGGTAGAGATTTATGTGTGGTTAGGAGAGTGTTAAATATTTGAACTGCTTTCCATTTGAGTGACAGTATAAGAAGACCTTGAAGTACGTTTAATAGATGGAGACTTTGCACAGTTGTATCAATATGGTGGACCCAGCTGACTACTACTGAGTAGCTTCTGCGTAGGTAGGCGGACAGAAATTGATACCTTGCAGTCGAGTTGAGTGTATCCATTTGTTTTAATATCCATTCTTCTCCAACTCCGACTCATTTAAGATGATGAATTAATGAAAATCTAAATAGTATTTACTTTCTCCCTTAATGAAACAGGTAAGCTTAATAGTGGCTAATGTGTGTGCCTCATATCTAATGAAATCAACTCTTTATGTGAATGGAATGGGGATGTTAATGAAAATCAAGCGTAAAACAAAGTATCACTGGCATTTCCCCTGCAGCTCAAATGATTGCGACATAACTCAATTAAGGTAGTATGAATGCATCTTTGAATTGTAGGCCCACAATGAGGCAGTTGAACCATAGGTTTTCAAATTTCATTTCTGTGAAATTCCATCTTTGATAATTTTATTACTGTGCATTGTTTGACTTTTTTTCTTTTGGAGTATAATAATGGGGTCGTGCTGTCTTAAACTATTTCAATGAGGCTGGTGTCAGACTGCCTGTGCTGAGAATTTGCCAATCTGTTCCGAGCAAAGTAAGGGTGTACCCGCTTGAATCTGACAATGACAACACGCTATATGCTATTATATTGTTGCCTTTTGATGAAATGGACTCTGATTAATATCACGATTGGAGGTCCCTTGATTTCCAACATCAAGTGTGTTTAATGTTACGGGTCGTAAATATACATATAACTTATCAATTATTTTGGTTAATTGTTCCTGATGTAGTAGTTACTTCAGATAATTATATTTATTTTATTTACATATGTTTCCTATATTACTATTTCTGTAATTTGGATTAGCTTCGGTCCATGTACTACTGTAGATTTTACCAAAGCATCTTCTTTTGAGATTTCTGACCCAAATGTTCTTGACAGATCTGAACTACATCCAGAATCTGATAGGGAATGTTCGGTCAATGTCTCCTGCAGAATCTCATTATAAAAAACCACAATATCTTCTCCGTATGGTATAATTATACTTATTTTATTAACGTACTATTATTTTATTATGCACTTAAGTCTAAGTTATTTATTGTAAACTTGCTGATTCTTTATATATTGACTTAGTTTTCGAGGGAAGCGTCAATGAATGAGTCAAAATGGTAATGATCTACAAAAACTGACGGATATCTAATTAAAATTTGATATATTTTTCTCAAGGTGTCTTACATTGGGTGCCCTAATTTTTTTTTTTAACTTTCATTCAATAATATGGAGAATGGTTGATCTCGTGTTTTTCGCTGAATTTCTTATCATCGAAATGGAAAATGATTCTTCTGTAAGCGCATTTTTAAGATCACAAATGAGCAGTAGACCAAAAGTGAAGCCGAGAAGGTTGTTCATCATTTTGAGTTCGAATCATCTCTCTCCGTAAGCACTGTTCACCACGCACCGTATTGCAAGTTCCTGTTACAGAGGATTCGAAATCATGGCTCTTCAGTATCAGGTGGGAGATGTTCTTGAGGTTCTTCCTGCCCAGGACCCCGTCGCTGTAGACGCATTCATCCGTCGTGCAAAACTTTCACCCAGACAGTTATATCACGGCATGTATCCGCGCCATACTCTCATTTGCTTCATTTCCTCAACGTTTGATCTTTTTTGCTTCAGAAACAACCTTCCTTCATGTTTTTCTTTTTCCTTTTTTTTTTTTTTTTTGGTTTGGCCTCTACATTCTGCCGGAATCATTAATCCATGTTTTATTGGGGATACCTCAAAGCTGTTCATGGGCACTGTTCTCTCTTGGTTACTAGTTTAGTTTATTCACAATTACAGCCCACCTGGTCGCATAATACATTATTTTTTTAATTTTTTTTCATGAAAGTGTTAAATAACCAGTGCAGTTTCTGTTTCAGGTCTGGCGTAAAGTCAACGATGACCATGATGATTCTTCCGTTAATATGTCAACTGAACCAGTCAAACCAAAGACTATTGTTGAACTGGCGATGGATGTGACATCTGCCGATCGGTATTTCTTTGAGGCAAGAAATTTATGCGCTCATCCCTTGTAATCAATTATATATCGACCATAGTCTGCTTTTCTTTGACGGAAAAATAAAAAATGCGAGATTATGCGCTCTTTAATGCTTGAAAACTACTTATTATTTAGTTTATGTCGCTTATGTACCATCAGATCATGAGCTTCTTTGCAACCAATGAAAATGAGAAGGTATGGCTTCACTACTTGTCCTCTGCTGTGGGCAGAAACGATCTATACCGCTACAACGAGAGAGAACGGAGGACTGTTCTTGAAGTGGGCCATTGACTTTTCGTCATATTATTTGCGGAAATTTGCAAAGTAGTCGAAAACCTTGGGTTTTCTATTTTTTATTTAATTCCATGTGCAGGTGCTGGAGGACTTCCCCTCGGTGCAGCTGCCCTTCGAGTGGCTGGTCCAGCTGGCGCCGCCGCTGAGAACGAGGGCCTTCTCCATCTCCTCCTCTCCCCTGGCTCATCCCGACCAAGTCCACCTGACTGTTAAGGCGTTGACCTGGACGACCCCTTTCAAGAAGAAGCGCTCCGACCTCTGCTCCAACTGGCTCGCCGGAGTTGACCCTCAGAAGGGTAAATATATATTTTACAAACGCTCTTCCCTCGGCTTCCGATTCGGCCGCCGTGATTTACCCTTCCGGGCTACAGGGGTTCCGATTCCGGCGTGGATTCACGGGGGGTGCCTGGCGGCGCCGCCGCCTTCGGAGCCGCTCATTCTGGTCGGGCCGGGGACGGGGTGCGCCCCCTTCCTGGGGTTCGTGGAGGAGCGGGCGGCGCAGAAGGCGGAGGGGGCGGCGGCGGCGCCGATCCTCTTCTACTTCGGGTGTCGGAACCAGGAGGACTTCCTCTACCGGGACTTTTGGGTGTCGCACGCTCAGGACGGCGGCGTGCTAGCGGCGGACGGCTGCGGCGGCGGCTTCTTCTCGGCTTTTTCCAGGGACCAGGTCCGCAAAGTGTACGTGCAGCACAAGATGAAGGAGGAGAGGAAGAGGGTTTGGCGGCTGCTGAGCGGCGGCGCCGCCGTGTGCATCGCCGGCTCGACGAGGATGCCTGCAGACGTTGTAGAGGCTCTGGAGGAGATCATCGTAGAGGAGGCGGGTCTAAGCGAGGAGGCCGCCGCCAGGTGGCTCGGGAAGGAGAGGGCAGAGAATATCTTCATCGAGGCGTAGTCCTGAGGCGTGATCTTACGGCGACGGTTCGCCGTGATGGACTTGCTGGTCTCGCGTTGACTTCAGTCGTCTACCCAACAGAATCATCCCTTAAACTATTAATGAGAGAGAGAGAGAGAGAGAGAGAGAGAGAGAGAGAGAGAGAGAACTTGGGCTTTAGCGTATTTAGCAGACTGCTAGAGGGAGAGAAACTTTGTCCGAAACCCTGCCTCTGCTTTAATGATACGAAGCATTTCATATATCTCTTGAAGAAGAGCTACTAGCGTGATCCACGCGGGAGAGGAGAGAGAGAGAGAGTTTGGGCTCTATCTAGACAGACTCTTGTATATTGAGACAAAATGTCTCGTCTGTAGACAAAGACCCACAGGTGTCGGAGAGAGGGGCTCTGAATTTCGGCTTAAAACTGGAGGGTTGACTGGCTTACAGAGCTGAAAAATCACGCCTGATGAACGTGGGACGGCGGCCGAAAAATCATTACCGATGACGAGTCGGCCTCCTGTTGATGAAGCTTACTGGTCCAGAATCCCCCCCCCTCTGGGCCGTTCGATCCCCAATTTCCGGGTTACCGACGACGATGGTAAACGCGAGATTTTTCTCCTCTCCCGCTGGTCGTTTTCCCCGGACAAGGAGGGATCGCCAGCCAACCCCTCTTCTCCTATTCCAACTTGAAGGTGCTCTCCAATAAATTCGGAGAGGGAGAAGGGTCTAGACCTTCTACTCCTCCCCGGGGAGAAGAGGGAAGGGTCTCCATGGCGTCGCCTTCTGCATTGCCCTCCGCCCTCAGATGGCCCCTGGATGCCGCCGCCTCGCCGCTATCCTTCACCGGCTCTTCTCTCTGTTCTTGCCGCCGCGAGAGCGGCAGGCTCCAGTTGCTCCGTCCCAGGAGTTCATCCTCTTCCTCCGATGCGGCCACCTCCTCCTCCTCTGCGTCTCCCTCCTCTCCAGGTCCCCGGACAGCGAGGACGGGGGCCTTTAGTCGGGAGGGACTCCACCCCTTCTTCAAGGAGCACTCGAAGAGCAGTACCAACTCGACTGATGATCATGGCGGTCTGATTAAAGGGGGAAAGGTCGCCAGAGCGCCGGCGGCAGTGGCGTTCTCCTCGGGGAGTGCCGACGAACGCTCGGATGTAGGATTCGTGGCTCAGATGCCGGGGAGGCATGGTTCCCTGAAGCCGGTCCAGAGGCATCCCCTGTGGCGGAGGATCTTCTTTGCTTCTAAGAAAGTCAGGAGCATCATCTTGCTTGATGTTCTGACTATCATCTACGGTACGAGCTATCCTTCATCCGCAATTTCCTCTGTCTTTCTGGTCTGGTAACATCGGAGGACATTGCCAATTGCCCGTGATGGGGATGTGATTTGGCAGTCCTCTTTATTGATGAGCCCAGTGCTACAATCATTACTTTTCCTCGTCTTATATTGCAAATTTGGACGATCCTCATTGTTGGATCTCCCTCGAGGATGCGTTTTGCCAATTGACATATTGAACAAGAAAACATTAATACCCAATTTCTTTTTTTGAAGTCATGAATTCTAATCAATTAAATTTTAGGCATGGTCTATTTTTTTCCGCTGCAGTCACCACTAAAGTTCATGGTTTTTTTTTTTATCCTAGTGCTAGAAAGGTGCTTCTTCCGAAATCCAGAAAACATACTTTCTGTGATTTATTCGCTTGTTGAATCTAAAGTAGTATGGAATCAGTCATATTGTTCAATGACCGAGTCCCACTTACTTTTCTAGCTAGTGATATTCCTCTTCTGAAGGAGGTCGAAGCCATTGTTGATCCTGCACTTTTCAACATGGTCCGGTTCGTGATTGCTGCCCTTCCTTTTCTGCCATTTGTCTTGTGGGCTCGTGGGGATAGGAAAACTCTTTCCTCTGGCATAGAGTTGGGCTGCTGGGTCAGCCTGGGGTACCTCACCCAGGCCCTTGGGCTGCTGACTTCTGATGCTGGACGTGCATCCTTCCTCTCAGCGTTCATGGTGAGCTCTCCTTCTTCGTTGGCAGTATCCGTCTCTCTGTCTTTGGTTTATGAGAGGATTGTGAACTTTGAGGCAAGGAGAATAAAAAATCTGAAAATCTTAATTCATCAGGTTATCACGGTACCCTTGATAGATGGCCTGTTCGGATCAACAATTCCTGTTCTTACTTGGTGTGGAGCGATCATTTCTCTCATCGGGGTTTGTATGCTGGAATGCAGTGGATCTTCTCCAAACGTTAGTACACCTGCCCCTATTATTCTCTGTAGATCTGCAGTCTTCTCATGGGGATTGAAACCTCTGTGGATCAACAGTCTTCTCATGGGGAATGAAACTTGGTGATCTCCAGGTTGGGGATTTCTTGAACATGCTGAGTGCTGTATTTTTTGGCATTCACATCCTCAGGACGGAACACATCTCCCGAGTCACCAAGAAAGAGAGCTATCTTTCTCTTCTCGGATATCAGGTCCGAAGATGTCTCATTTCCCATCATCCTTCGATTATATCCATTCATTCAGGGATTTAAGAGAAGCATCCTGGTGCAGGTGTCTGTCATCGCCTTGTTTTCAGTGGCCTGGTATGTTTTCAGAGAAATGTCTTATAATGGGCAAGAAGAAACCTTGATATCATGGCCATCGTGGGATTGGATCATCTCCTTTCCGTGGATTCCTGCTCTCTACACGGGCATTCTCACAACTGGGTTATGCCTATGGGCGGAGGTATTTTTGTCAGATTTTTCTCTTCTAGCTTGCCATCCTCTTGAGGCTGAAAGGACTAGTCTTCTCTACGATTCTTCACGCTGAATACTATTATTTTTATTGATGTAGATGTCAGCCATGCGTGATGTAACGGCAACTGAAACAGCAATTATCTATGGGCTGGAGCCATTGTGGGGTGCTGCCTTTGCATGGATTCTCCTGGGTGAACGATGGGACACCGTTGGGTGGATTGGAGCTGCTCTGATTCTGAGTAAGATGGTCTATTTAGTACTCATACTTCTTAAAAGAATTGAAGGTTTATGTCCGCATGTGCCTTATAAAACATATGATTTTTCCTAATTTTGGCATGCCAGTGATTGCTAGAATGGTTCCACACTAATTTTGGCACCCCAGGCTGATTTTTTGTGCTGAACAGTCTTATCCTTTGACATAATTCTAGGGCTGAAAATCGTATCTCTGGTCACTTGAATATTAAAAGTCAACCCTATCGTTAAAAATATATGAGCAATTTCTTCACAAATGGAAAACATAATACCCCACGTTATGGTGGAAGACTTCAACGAACGCCCCTCCACCTTGGGTTTCTGTATAATTTATTTTATATCTTTTTAGGGCCGAGCACCCTACAGACGTTGACTTTTCTTATATTGCTAATTTGGTTTGACGCCTTAGTCTCTTGTGGTTTTCCAGGTGGGAGCTTGACCGTTCAGATCTTTGGATCATCTCCAGAGAAGTCCAAAACAGACGGTGGCAAGAGAATGACAGATAAGCTCAATCTCTCAGATGGGTCGAAGGACTTATCTTTGTCCCCAGTCGTCATCGACTCCAGGAAGAGAGTCAGAGACCTCCCTGACAAGTGAGCTCCTCCTGAACTATACGATTTTATAGTTCTTCTTCCATCTCCAGGATCCACGGTCTCTAATGGTCGTTGCCTTCTCACAGGATGGGCAAATTATGACCGGCATAAATATGAGAAACTACTAACACATATCCCAGAGTATATGTTACATGTATTTCTATGTATAGATATTTATTGAGACCCATCTGCTGCTGCTGCTGCTGCAATCTGTTCAAGGTAACGTGAAAGTCAAACTTTCCCAGTATCTGAAGGGAGAACCTGCGCAGTCTTTTCAGGTATAACATGTGGGTTTTACGGACATTGTTTGCAGGAAAGAGAAATAGAAGTATTAGCTGAAGATTCGTGCCAGTTATCGGGAGATAGTCGTCTCCAATGCTGGGAGGAGAGATGTTGCTACTCTTTTGTAAATTGAATATTATTCTAGTGCAGATCCCCAACAGTGAGGGAGGATCATTTGCCCTTTTTAGGTTCTTTTTTGTAAATAATAGTTTCGAAATATTTTAATAATAATGATAGTTTACGTGGAAATTGTGCATACCTGAGGGGGAAGAGAGGTAACAAGAGCGTTGACCAAAGTCTGTTTTGACTCTTTGGGCCAGGAAAATGGAAGGGCTTTTAATGGTTCTGTCAGAAATAAAATTCTTGTCCGTAGAATCTTCAAGTTGGAGGCAGCAATAGCCATTGCTCCGAAGATCTGTCACAGAAAAACCGGCGCCATTAATGAACGACGTTCGAGAGAGAGAGAGAGAGAGAGGGAAGGTGGCTAATCTCGGAGTTACAGCATAGGAAGAACCTTTCTTCTGAAAGGCCTCAACTTTTCTAATGAACCTTTTCTACTGGGCCACTCATAAGCAGCAAACAGTGATCAAGCTCACTAAGAAGACGGGGGCCCAATTTAGAACGACGGGTGAGTGGATCTGCAGAAGCGGCGAAGTCCACCGGCATCCCTCGTCATCTCCATCTGGAAGGACCCAGTCCACGGGGTCCACCATCCACCCCTCCCCCGAATCCACGGGTCAAACCTTTCACATATTTACTACTTAGATGAACACACCCCAGCGGCGTCCTCTTCCAATTTCTCTCATTCCTTTTACTATTGGCTGCGATTGACTTTTGCAAGATGCCGCCATCACTTCACGAACGCTCCCCAGACTTGCCTTCCGCGTTGAACTTGTCTTCTCTCTACTGCTAAGAGCCCACCACCACCGGGTGTGCGTGCCCTAGTTGCCGCCATAAGCGTCACAGCGGGCCATCCCCTACCTCGTTCCCGCTGCTATATAGATTGACATTCCGAAGCAACCCACAGCAAAACCCAAAGAGAAAGTAGAAGATGGGAAAGCCCGCATTTGAAACCCCTCCCGCTAGCCCTCCTGGATACGCACAGCCAGAAACCTACCCGCCGATCAACGCTGCCTACATGACACCAAGCACTGCCGCCTACCCGCCGCCAAGCAGCGCCGCCTACCCTCCGCCGAGAGACGCCACCACGTATCCTCCTCCATCCATGCCCGTAGCCTTCCCTCCAGCCGTGCAGCAGCTTCCCGGGTACGCGGGAAATCCCGGTTCGGTGCCCGTGAAGTTCCCACCAGAGAATTATCCTCCGGCACCGGCGTTCCAGCAGCACGCTTCCATGGCTCCTGCTCCTTCACCGGGATACCCGGTCCAGCGTCCTCCTCCGCTGACGCCGGGGGGGTTCGTCCCGCAGGGGAGCTCGCCTTGGACGACTGGTATCTTCGATTGTATGGAGGATCCCACGAATGGTAATGACTCTCCCTTCTCCCTTCCGTAAAACATCTTCTCTTCTTCTCTGTACAAGAGAAAACTCACACGCTCTTCTGCTCTTCGGAAACTCCTGGCAGCTGTCATGACGTTGTTGCTGCCATGCTTCACCTTCGGACAAATCGCAGAGATCATCGACGAAGGCCGTTCGAGTACGTGAAAAAAGTCAACGGCGCCGATTTCTCCCCAGGAGTTAAACTTCCGCTCGGGTTCTCTAACTAGGTTTCTGTTCTGATTCTGCAGCATGCAGCACGAACGGAGCGATGTACGGTTGCGTGGCCTTCCTGATCGGGATGCCGTGCCTGATATCGTGCGGGTACCGCTCGAGGCTGCGAGCCAAGTTCGACCTCGTTGAGACGCCGGCGCCGGACTGGGCGGTGCACTGCCTCTTCGAGTGTTGCGCCCTCTGCCAGGAGTACAGAGAGCTGCGCAACAGGGGCTTCGACCCCGAAATAGGTGAGTGCAGAGACTGCTCTACGAAGCCTAGGCTTCGTACTCTAGCTGCTGATTCTGGGCGACATTTAAAAGAATTTATCTCTAGGGATAAGGGTTCTAGATTGGTCAAGAGATTTCTTCCATGTTACCGCAGGTTGGCATGCGAACATGGCGAGAAATCGAGGAGTGGCCATGACGCCTCCAGTGAATCAGACAATGACTGGTTGATCGGTGGCTTCTGCCCGGCTTTTCTACTGGACTTGTTAAGAGTTGAGACTTGCGGTGTGTATAGTAAATCGTCTGGTGATCACAGCGGTGTGTTTAGGCTGTGTACTGTGTCCACCATATGTTCTCCACAGATATAATTAAATATCTCCGACCGATGTGTGCTATGGCATTTTCCATACTATACTTCTGATCAAGTGGGCCCAATGCTTTGCCAGAGGCGATTACGAGTGAGTCTCCTTCAAGGACGCGTGAACGGAGCAAAAGTCAATGTTTTGAAAAGCAGATATGTAGCGTGTCGGCTACTATCCACGAATTTTTTTTATTTAACAAGAACGACAGGCATCATGTTTTTCTTTTAGAGATGATAAGCAGTTCGTAATAGATAGCCTTTCAATAATGTAGAATTGGTAAAAAGAAGGTGACGAGGAAGATCAATACGCTTTTACATAGCGGATGGGCGCATAGTAATAAATAACGACAGTAACCCCATCGCCCCTCTTCTGATCTGCTAATTAGGTGGCTGTTTTCACAAGTTGGAATTGTAGCCCACTTTGAATGGCAGGGGTCGGGTTGCCGGGAGATTTCTCCCAAGCGTCCAGGCCGAGGCAAAAATTTTGTCACCTTGATGGGTATTTTCATCGTAGTAAAGATATTGAGCATTTAATATTCTGAGAAGAATAGCCACTTTGAAAAAACAATGTAAGTTGTAGGCTTGAGCTTTCTCTAAAACTAGCCCGAGATTAAGTGAGAGTTAAAACCGACTTGTCAAAGACGTTTTCAGGACGTACATTAGGAAAGAGCCAAAGTGAATGTCCGTACTCTGCTTGCCTCGGATTGGTATGGAGTTGGTCAATGCCATCAGTTTTCAACTTGTTTTATGCTCGGGGATACCCTCCGTGCAACTCTACGAATCAAGTTTATATTTTCTTGGTTGGTATGATGAATAGAATACATAGATATGTGTGTATGTAGAGCGATCGATAGAGAGAGAGAGAGAGAGAGAGAGCGGTTAATAAAAAAATAAAAAATATTGGGCCAATCAAAAATATTTTATTTATGTGAGGACCTCTCTCCTTTGAAGGAGTCATGATCTCTGATCCCATCACATTTCGGCTGAAAATTTAGCAATGATCGAGAACCGAATTCACACTCTTCTGGGTTTTTGCTGATTTTTCATCAATTGTCCCTCAGGAGGAGCTTCCTGGGGTCCATCTCAATCATCAACTACCACTGAGAAGGTCCGTGCGCATCTTCACCGTTGTATGAACTGACGAAGCATGTCGTTGTCGCAGGGATGCCAGGCGAGGATAGCTATGTGCTAGGATGTATGAGCGTTAAGGGGATTGCCTCAGGCAAACGATGGTACCACTACTCTCATTATATAAGCCACATCAAGATCTCATCTGGGCAGCAGCTCACAAACTCAGCCGAACTCGTTTTCTGCAGAACCTGAATATCAGTAAATGAGTTTGTGACACCCCAACAAGGGTCGATGAGCTTCAAACCAAATCTCAGGGGGTATAGAGGAGGACGCAACGTCATCAGCCCTCCATTCATCGTTCTCGAAGAGTGAGAGCAGGATGGAGGCCATTCTGTATCTCTCCAAGTGATAACAATGCGTGATGGAGGGGAAGGGAGAAGGAGCATATTCTCTTCTTAAGTTAAAGTACCATGGGGGCATTGGGATCCTACTCCACATGAACCCATTAATTGTCTGCGTGGCCAAACCATCCCCTACTTGGTACGACCAACGAATAATTCTCTCAGCAAATGACATCATCAAAGAATCTTTCAACAGTGAGAGAACAGATTCAGCGATCGAGATTTCAACGTGCAGATTGTGACTGAATTTAGGTCATCTACACCTAGTCTCTTCACTTTGCCTTTGATCATCCCATATCCGTTGGGCTACCATCTTAAGCACAAGAAGATGAAAACCTGGCAGTCATAGGACTATGCTTCCACCACAAAGTAGAACTACTTCAATGAAGAATCACTATAATTTGTTGAAGACTGTATACACTTTATATTTTATTTTTGATTAAATTATCTACAAAAATATAAGACGTGAAGTATTAGAAAATTTTCATTTTGTTTAGAATCAAATGTTATCTGTAAACTTATAGTGAGGTAAATTGTTACCAGAAAAAAGGAATTTATAGAAGATGAAAAGAAGTGATTAGACAATTGATAATTTCAAAATGACTTGAGAGAAATAATGAAAAAAGGTGAATGATGTATAACCGTTTTGATTCTTTGTCAAACCTTGGAGGCTCGTTGCTTATTAATGTCCAAGAGAGGGAGGACTCAAGTGGGTTCTCATGATGATCATGATGGTTTTATCTTAGTTGGACAATAAGAAATAAAAAGTGGGGAAAGAGGAAGTGCAGGTGGAAGGAGTGAGTGGGATGTGCTCATTGTAGTGAGAAGAAATAGGGAAGAGTGAGGTGAGGTTCGTGAACATGGAGAGGAAGCATGGATGTGGAAGAAAAAAATGAAAATCCCTCCCCCTTTTGGCTGTAGGTGTTCATAACTATTTTTCCCTCATTAGTTATCTTTTAGAAGGGAGATCATATAATATATCCAAAGTACTCTTGACAATATGCCCATAACCCTAATAATGCATCCAACACTCACCCTTCAAGTTAAATTGTAATAAATAGTCATCTTGATAGAAAATAAGAAACTTGACAACTTAGCACATTCTATTATGAGGTACTAACAAGAAAGGACAAACAAAAAAGTAAAAATTATTATTTGGGAGATCCAACTAAATTTTTAAGAATCAAGTAGAATATTTCTATGCTTCTTCATAAGAATTAAATAAGTCATGAAGTCACATTTTGCGATGAATGAATAAGAAAGATGAGAACTCAAGCCCTTGGTTACTATATCTACTAGTTGATTTGCTAAATTCATCTATGATAAGTTAATAAGGCTGGAGTCAAATTTTGTTTTCATAAAATGTCAGTCAATTTCTATAACTTTTTTTGGGTCATAATAAACTTGATTATTAACAAGTTAACTAATGCCTTGTTGTCACAATGTAATATGGGAGGAGATGAAGTTAAAAGTCCCAATTTTAGAAGATTCAGAATCTTAAAACATTGAAAATACCTTGTGCCATTGCTTGGAATTCTACTTCAATTGTAGAAGGGGCAACCATTCTTTGTTTTTTATTTCTCCATTTGACCATATTTCTACCCTGAAAAATGTATAATGCTTTGAAGTTAATTTCATGTTATCTATAGATCCAACCTAATTTGCATTCTATTTCAAGGTTTCTATGAACAAAATAAAGAAGACCATGGCTTGAACATATTTTGAGATATTTAAGTATAAGAATTACAACATTAGTATGAGTACAATGAGGGTCATGCGTAAATCAACTAATTATACTGATAGTATAAGACATGTCTCAACAAATACTTGAAAGTCATTGAAATTTTAGTTTATTAATTTCTTCTCTATTGTCACTTGAGAAGTGATGATTTTTTTCTATAAGAGTATTGACAGGTCTATAACCCAATGTACCAGCCTCCACAAAGAGATTTAATTGTATTTTCTTTGAGAGAAAAATATTTCTTTCCAAGATCAAGAGACTTCAATTTCAAGAAAGTACTTTAATTATCTACGATACTTTACCTCAAAAGTCTAACTCAATTGGACCTTCAACTTATTAATTTCTCTAATATCAACTCTAGTAATCACAATATTTTCGACGTATATGATTAAAATAATTTCAGAAAACAAGATATGATCACTATTATTCTATTTATAACTCATTTTCATAATACGTTTTCTAAAATAACCAAACTATTCTTAAGTAGATTATTTAAGGTCATAAAGTGATTGGTTTAAGTGGCACACCTTTTCAACTACTTTGGTAGTAAAAAAACTAAGTGGGATTTCATATATACCTTCCCTTGAAGGTCCCTTATAAAAATGTATTTTTTACATCAAGCTGAAAAAGATCCTAATCACTATTAACACCATATGATATAAGAGTTTTTATTGAATTCATCATATTAATTGGTACAAATATTTCTTTGTAATCAATGTCATATATTTGTACATATCATTTTACAACTAAGTGAATTTTATATCGAATAACAATATCTTCTAATGTTTGTTCAATGAAAAAAATTCACTTACAACTTAAAACTTTTTTACCAGCTGGTAAAAAGTTAAGCCCTCAAGTTTAATTTTTCTCAAGTGTTTGTATTTTTCATTCATAACTTTCTTCCACTTTCATCTTGTAATGTCATTTTCAAACCTATAGGTATGAAAATTGTGGATAATGATATAATAAAACTTTAATGGGATGGAGATAGTGATTCATAAGACAAAAAATTGACAATGCTATATTTATATCCTATACCCTCTTTGAAATTCGTAGTAATAGCAACATAACAAGTAGATTTTCATAGAGTTATAAGAATTTGTAGATCATCATTTTCTAGAATAGAAGGATTACTTGACTAATGATGAGAATCACATGTTTTTAGAAGAGGTAATAGATAATGATGAAGTTATTGTAACTTTGAGGGGTACTTTGACATTTGAAGAATGTTGAACAAGCTTTAGTGAATAGTAGTGAGCTCATAATGCTGATGCCTCTTGTTGTGATAAACTCTCCCCTTGAAAATCAACACTCTTCTTAACCTTATCATAAATTATGTGAGGAATAGGAGATTTATTTTTTAGAGCATCTCTTGCTCTCCTTATTTTTCATCACTATGTAGTGGGAGAAATTGAATATGAGGATCCATAGAAAAATTTATATCTTCTAAATATAATATTCATATTAATAAACACTTTCTTCTCAATTGGACACCAACACTTGTAACTTGGTAGTGTGATAGAGTATCTGACGTGACTTAGTCGTTATATAGTAAATCACGTAAATTTAAAATTTATAAAACTAGAAAATATGAATTTTCAGATATTTAGAAGTATTTCTAAACAAATATATCAATTATAATTCAATAAAACTTCCA